TTTCAGCACCCGAACAACGAGAAAATAAGAAATAAAATCTATTGCACAATGGTGGTATCAAAGACAAAATACAGCATGAGTGGTAAGTACGTAGAGAACACTAGGTAGTGGATGAGAGAACACTTGGGCCCTGTTTCAATACTCTCAAAATGCATTCTTCCATCCTGCCTGACATGATTTGATGTGTGAATGGGATACATCATGGAACCCTTTCTTCCACCAATCCAATAGTGACAGATCAATGATAACTTCAAAGAATCAAGTAAGAAAGGATGGATGGATGGATTTGTAGGGTATAAAAAAGGTGCATGAAATGACCAATGAACAAGAGAGCTGTGGCCTGGTCTCCGGCCAACCAAGCACCCTCACTGTGGATTTCCCCTAACCCGAGGACACATTACAGGGGTTCTGACACAGAGCATTCTGGGTAAGGGCGGGAGTGTTGGCATCCCAAGCTTCGGGCTTCTGACCTGTGATTAAAACATCACAGGTAGGGCCGAATGCAGACGACCACAGGTTACCTCAGCTATATACAGCAGCCCGGTTAAAGGTCAGATCTGTACCAGAACAGGTTCTTCTCATAGAATATTATTACACTGTCGTAACTACGGCAAAGAGGTTTGATATGTAAACATTAACAAATAAATATCAGGGAGAGATGGTTGCCATTTCCACCTAGTGGCAGTGTTAATGGTCCATAGCGCTGAATTGTAACTTAAATCATGTCCTTCCCCAACCCAAAGGGGAACGTAACGTTAATAATACATTTTCACAACATCCCATATGGCTCAGGAGAGGTCTTTTTACTCAGACTAGTCCAATAGTAGGGAACAACAATGGCATTACATGGAAGCTTATTAAAGGTAATGGACACATGTAGGACACATACAGTTCAGTACAACAGGAGAACATAGAACCAACGGGCAATGAGTGCAACTGTCATTTTCATATGGTTAGGACCTCACTACTATTACATCTCTATTCAGTTCAATACAAAGCTTAAAGGACAACTTTTCAACCTCATATTCATTATCTCTAGCACCATACTAGTGTCTACATATGTGAAAACGGCGTGTTTCTATGATCTGTGGTTAAAAAGATAAGAAGAAAGATCCAAAAAATTGCTTCTCTGTAGCTAGGTTTCCATCCAATTGGCGACAGATATTCATGCGAATATTCAAGAATCTGCATAAAGAAAATATGCACATTTTCCCACCAGGGTTATGTTTCCACCAAACTGACTTGTTGCGGATAAAAGTCGGTGCGTGATGACGTAATGCACACCAAATGTACTTTTTTGTTTAAGTTTTCATTTACTGAATAAAAATCACAAGTTTAATGTGTTTTCATCGCATTTTCAACTCTACCAATAGATTTGTCAAAAAAACTGTTGCATTAAATAGCAACTGTGCCTACTCTGGTCTTGGCACGTGTGCTCTAGCCAACAGCTTGCAGATACAGTGTGGGTAGGCTATCTACATGATGAGATTATTATGGGTAAGAGAGAGAATATTTGTATTTGTCAAACGGCAGTCAAGCATCAATCATCATGTGACCAGAATAATACCCTCAATATTTATTGGAAAGGAGCATCAAGAGTGGAGTGCACTTTCACCACCCTGTGAAGTTCATCATAATTTATTTAATCTGTAGTGCCGTTTTCACATATGCAGACATTGGTATTGTGCTGGAGATAATGAAATGAGGTTGAAAAGTGGTGGAATTGCCCTTTAAGTTTGAAAGTGAAGTAAAAACCACAGGTTTAATGTGCTAGGCAGTACCATCAGCAAGAAAATCAAGTAAAAGACAAGAAAATAGAAGTGGTTGAATAAAAGTTGTAACAAACTATGACACACTATACTGTAAACCGTTGAATATTCATTTTATAGCTATGAAACTAACTTGCCCAAATGAATTTGCATATCATTGATGGTTAGCTGAAGAAAACCACAGGCCATTTCTAACTTTCTTTAACCTCTCTGCAGCTTGTACTTGTAGGTTTATCAATTTTTGCAGCTCTTTTCAACTAGAATTGTAATAAACAATATTGTTTCAGTCTTTTAACAAATACTACATAAAATAATAAAATAACACTTGTCACATAATTAAATAAAAATCGTAAAATCTGCATGTTAACCCTCTATAATAAAACATAGAAATATGTCCCTCATCTAGTCTTTTTTGTGGTTGTTTTATGTAAATCACAGCATTTTGAACTTACTTAAACTGTCAGAAGAGGCACAGCTATGTACCCATTCCTTCTCCCTATGTTCGCTGAAGAAGCACTGAAATATTGTAAAAAACAATGCATCTACCATCTCACACTCACTGAGAAAGTGTACTGTGAGGGAAAAAAGTATTTGATCCCCTGCTGATTTTGTACGTTTGCCCACTGACAAAGAAATGATCAGTCTATAATTTTAATGGTACGTTTATTTGAACAGTGAGAGACAGAATAACAACAAAAAAATCCAGAAAAACGCATGTAAAAAATGTTATAAAATGATTTGCATTTTAATGAGGGAAATAAGTATTTGACCCCCTCTCAATCAGAAAGATTTCTGTCTCCCAGGTGTCTTTTAAACAGGTAACGAGCTGAGATTAAGAGCACACTCTTAAAGGGAGTGCTCCTAATCTCAGCTTGTTACCTGTATAAAAGACACCTGTCCACAGAAGCAATCAATCAATCAGATTCCAAATTCTCCACCATGGCCAAGACCAAAGAGCTCTCCAAGGATGTCAGGGATAAGATTGTACACCTACACAAGGCTGGAATGGGCTACAAGACCATCGCCAAGCAGCTTGGTGAGAAGGTGACAACAGTTGGTGCGATTATTCGCAAATGGAAGAAACACAAAATAACTGTCAATCTCCCTCGGCCTGGGGCTCCATGCAAGATCTCACCTCGTGGAGTTGCAATGATCATGAGAACGGTGAGGAATCAGCCCAGAACTACACGGGAGGATCTTGTCAATGATCTCAAGGCAGCTGGGACCATAGTCACCAAGAAAACAATTGGTAACACACTATGCCGTGAAGGACTGAAATCCTGCAGCGCCCGCAAGGTCCCCCTGCTCAAGAAAGCACATATACAGGGCCGTCTGAAGTTTGCCAATGAACATCTGAATGATTCAGAGGAGAACTGGGTGAAAGTGTTGTGGTCAGATGAGACCAAAATGGAGCTCTTTGGCATCAACTCAACTCACCGTGTTTGGAGGAGGAATGCTGCCTATGATCCCAAGATCACCATCCCCACCGTCAAACATGGAGGTGGAAACATTATGCTTTGGGGGTGTTTTTCTGCTAAGGGGAAAGGAGAACTGCACCGCATCAAAGGGACGATGGACAGGGCCATGTACCGTCAAATCTTGGGTGAGAACCTCCTTCCCTCAGCCAGGGCATTGAAAATGGGTCGTGGATGGGTATTCCAGCATAACAATGACCCAAAACACACGGCCAAGGCAACAAAGGAGTGGCTCAAGAAGAAGCACATTAAGGTCCTGGAGTGGCCTAGCCAGTCTCCAGACCTTAATCCCATAGTAAATCTGTGGAGGGAGCTGAAGGTTCGAGTTGCCAAACGTCAGCCTCGAAACCTTAATGACTTGGAGAAGATCTGCAAAGAGGAGTGGAACAAAATCCCTCCTGAGATGTGTGCAAACCTGGTGGCCAACTACAAGAAACTTCTGACCTCTGTGATTGCCAACAAGGGTTTTGCCACCAAGTACTAAGTCATGTTTTGCAGAGGGGTCAAATACTTATTTCCTTAATTAAAATGCAAATCAATTTATAACATTTTTGTCATGCGTTTTTCTGGATTTGTTTGTTGTTATTCCGTCTCTCACTGTTCAAATAAACCTACCATTAAAATTATAGACTGATCATATCTTTGTCAGTGGGCAAACGTACAAAATCAGCAGGGGATCAAATACTTTTTTCCCTCACTGTACAATATAGCTGTACAATTTGTTCTGGTCCAAGCAGACCTCTCGCTCACAGAACACTTGCAGTAACCAGTCAGGGAAGCACCCAGCACTGCTCCCATGGCTCGCCACGTTCACATAATAAACCAATACTAAAATAATGTCTCAATCTTAATAAGCATTTTTTTTTACATTTACATTTTTAGTCATTTAGCAGACGCTCTTATCCAGAACGACTTACAGGAGCAATTAGGGTTAAGTTCCTTGCTCAAGGGCACATCGACAGATTTTTCACCTAATCGGCTTGGGGATTTGAACCAGCAACCTTTCGGTTACTGGCACTACGCTCTTAACCACTAAGCTACCTGTTAACCCAGCATAACCTTTAGCTATTCCCTTCTTCACATCTGTCTGAGCTCTAGTCGGTCCAGTGAGGGGATCCATGCTCCCTCACCAGACAGACACATATTCTGTTCATCTTTACATCTTTACATGTTAAGCCAGCCTCTGTAGTGCATTTAAACAGTGCATCATTTTATTCACAAACCACGGGTCATCATCCGTTCCCCTCCCCACCTATCAATTAAAAACAGTAAGAGAGATTGTGATTGCTGTCTTCCACCCCCCACTCCAACCTCCCACTGTAAAGTCAAATCCAGTTCTGTTTCCACATAGGGTCCAGGCTGACCCCAAAAGTTCTGTTTTGTTATTGTTTTGCTTTGAGTTTGTCGGTCTGGGGAATGTGTGGTGAGGTGTGTGTATCTGTGTGTGCGTATCAGGTGGAGTGTGTAGGTGTGTTGTAGCGGTGGTGTGTGTGTGTTTGTGTGTGCGTGGTTGAGGAAGCGGTCATGTGTTGGGCACATCGGCCCTGAGGGAAATGGCCTGCTCCAGGTCCTTCACAGTGTGTGGGTTATTGTGTGTGAGTTGTATACTTATGTGTGTGTGTGTGTGTGTGGGTGTGTGTGTGTGTGAGTGAGTGTGTTTATGTACTAGTAATGCTAGTAAGAGTTTGTCTATGTGTGTGTTTGTCTATTTGTGCATATCTCTATGTATGTGTGTGTGTGTCCAGTCAAGTCCAGGTCACCCGTGGGACATCTCAGCCTTGCTGAGAGCGATGGCCAGCTCTAAGTCCTCCTGCTCCTGCTGCCGGAGTCTCTTCAGCCGCTCCCGCTCCGCTCGCTCACTCTCTCGCTTCGCCCACTCCAGTTGCTGGGCCTCATTTCCAAACTACAGAGAGAAGAGGAGAGAGGCATTTAACAAAGGATTCATCCCTAACACCATGCACAAAACACACATTAGGAGGTGTTTTGCCAGATTATTTGATTTTAGTGAACCTTATACTGTATATTAAGGGTAAACTTCCATTTCTGCCTGGCTACCGTAAGAGGATATACAGTGCCTTGCAAAAGTATTCATCCCCCTTGGCGTTTTTCCTATTTTGTAGCATTATAACCGGTAATTTAAATTGATTTTTATTTGGATTTCATGTAATGGACATACACAAAATAGTCCAAATTGGTGAAGTAAAAAAAATTCTAAAACATAAATAACGGAAAAGTGGTGCGTGCATATGTATTCACCCCCTTTGCTATGAAGCCCCTAAATAAGATCTGGTGCAACCAATTACCTTCAGAAGTCACATAATTAGTTAAATAAAGTCCACCTGTGTGCAATCTAAGTGTCACATGATCTGTCACATGATCTCAGTATATATCCACCTGTCCTGAAAGGCCCCAAAGTCTGCAACACCACTAAGCAAGGGGCACCACCAAGCAAGCGGCACCATGAAGACCAAGGAGCTCTCCAAACAGGTCAGGGACAAAGTTGTGGAGAAGTACAGATCAGGGTTGGGTTATAAAAAAATATCCGAAACTTTGAACATCCCACGGAGCACCTTTAAATGCATTATAAAAAATGGAAAGAATATGGCACCACAACAAACCTGCCAAAACTCACGGACCAGGCAAGGAGGGCATTAATCAGAGAGGAAACAAAGAGACCAAAGATAACCCTGAAGGAGCTGCAAAGCTCCACAGCGGAGATTGGAGTATCTGTCCATAGGACCACTTTAAGCCGTACACGCCACAGAGCTTTACGGAAGACTGGCCAGAAAAAAGCCATTGCTTAAAGAAAAAAATAAGCAAACACGTTTGGTGTTCGCCAAAAGCCATGTGGGAGACTCCCCAAACATATGGAAGAAGGTACTCTGGTCAGATGAGACTAAAATTGAGCTTTTTGGCCATCAAGGTAAACGCTACGTCTGGCGCAAACCCAACACCTCTCATCACCCCGAGAACACCATCCCCACAGTGAAGCATGGTGGTGGCAGCATCATGCTGTGGGGATGGTTTTCATCGGCAGGGACTGGGAAACTGGTCAGAATTGAAGGAATGATGGATGGCGCTAAATACAGGGAAATTCTTGAGGGAAACCTGTTTCAGTCTTCCAGAGATTTAAGACTGGGACGGAGGTTCACCTTCCAGCAGGACAATGACCCTAAGCATACTGCTAAAGCAACAAACAAGTGGTTTAAGGGAAAACATTTAAATGTCTTGGAATAGCCTAGTCAAAGCCGAGACCTCAATCCAATTGAGAATCTGTGGTATGACTTAAAGATTGCTGTACACCAGCGGAACCCATCCAACTTGAAGGAACTGGAGCAGTTTTACCTTGAAGAATGGGCAAAACTCCCAGTGGATAGATGTGCCAAGCTTATAGAGACATACCCCAAGAGACTTGCAGCTGTAATTGCTGCAAACGGTGGCTCTACAAAGTATTGACTTTGGGGGGGTGAATAGTTATGCACGCTCAAGTTTTCAGTTTTTTTGTCTTATTTCTTGTTTGTTTCACAATCAAAAATATTTTGCATCTTCAAAGTGGTAGGCATGTTGTGTAAATCAAATGATACAAACCCCCCAAAAATCCATTTTAATTCCAGGTTGTAAGGCAACAAAATAGGAAAAATGCCAATGGGGGTGAATATTCGCAAGCCACTGTATATGACTGTAGTTTTGTATTATAACTATATACAGTGAGGGAAAAAAGTATTTGATCCCCTGATGATTTTGTACGTTTGCCCACTGACAAAGACATGATCAGTCTATAATTTTAATGGTAGGTTTATTTGAACAGTGAGAGACAGAATAACAACAAAGTAATCCAGAAAAAACTCATTTCAAAATTGTTATGAATTGATTTGCATTTTAATGAGGGAAATAAGTATTTGACCCCTCTGCAAAACATGACTTAGTACTTGGTGGCAAAACCCTTGTTGGCAATCACAGAGGTCAGACGTTTCTTGTAGTTGGCCACCAGGTTTGCACACATCTCAGGAGGGATTTTGTTCCACTCCTCTTTGCAGAGCTTCTCCAAGTCATTAAGGTTTCGAGGCTGACGTTTGGCAGCTCGAACCTTCAGCTCCCTCCACAGATTTTCTATGGGATTAAGGTCTGGAGACTGGCTAGGCCACTCCAGGACCTTAATGTGCTTCTTCTTGAGCCACTCCTTTGTTGCCTTGGCCGTGTGGTTTGGGTCATTGTCATGCTGGAATACCCATCCAAGACCCATTTTCAATGCCCTGGCTGAGGGAAGGAGGTTCTCACCCAAGATTTGACAGTACATGGCCCCGTCCATCATCCCTTTGATGCAGTGAAGTTGTCCTGTCCACTTAGCAGAAAAACACCCCCAAAGCATAATGTTTCCACCTCCATGTTTGACGGTGGGGATGGTGTTCTTGGGGTCATAGGCAGCTTTTTCTGGATTATTTTGTTGTTATTCTGTCTCTCACTGTTCAAATAAACCTACCTTTAAAATTATAGACTGATAATTTCTTTGTCAGTGGGCAAACGTACAAAATCAGCAGGGTATCAAATACTTTTTTCCCTCACTGTAATGTACCCACACATATTAACACACACATCACACATCAGCATGCACACAAAAGCATCCGCACACACACAAAATATACACACTACACACACATTCTACAGTTGAAGTCGGAAGTTTACATACACCTTAGCCAAATACATTTAAATTCAGTTTTTCACAATTCCTGACATTTAATCCTAGTAAAAATTCCCTGTTTTAGGTCAGTTAGGATCACCACTTTATTTTAAGAATGTGAAATGTCAGAATAATAGTAGAGAGAATGATTTATTTCAGCTTTTATTTCTTTCATCAGAAGTTACACTCAATTAGTATTTGGTAGCATTGCCTTTAAATTGTTTAACTTGGGTCAAACGTTTCGGGTAGCCTTCCACAAGCTTCCCACAATAAGTTGGGTGAATTTTGGCCCATTCCTCCTGACAGAGCTAGTGTAACTGAGTCAGGTTTGTAGGCCTCCTTGCTCGCACACGCTTTTTCAGTTCTGCCCACACATTTTCCATAGGATTGAGGTCAGGGCTTTGTGATGGCCACGCCAATACCTTGACTTTGTTGTCCTTAAGCCATTTTGCCACAACTTTGGAAGTATGCTTGGGGTCATTGTCCATTTGGAAGACCCATTTGCGACCAAGCTTTAACTTCCTGACTGATATCTTGAGATGTTGCTTCAATATATCCACATCATTTTTCTTCCTCATGATGCCATCTATTTTGTGAAGTGCACCAGTCCCTCCTGCAGCAAAGCACCCCCACAGCATGATGCTGCAACCCCCGTGCTTCACGGTTGGGATGGTGTTCTTCTGCTTGCAAGGACCCCCTTTTACCTCCAAACATAACAATGGTCATTATGGCCAAACAGTTCTATTTTTGTTTCATCAGACCAGAGGACATTTCTCCAAAAAGTACGATCTTTGTCCCCATGTGCAGTTGCAAACCGCAGTCTGGCTTTTTTATGGCGGTTTTGGAGCAGTGGCTTCTTCCTTGCTGAGCGGCCTTTCAGGTTATGTCGATATAGGACTCGTTTTACTGTGGATATAGATACTTTTGTACCTTTTTCTTCCAGCATCTTCACGAGGTCCTTTGCTGTTGTTCTGGGATTGATTTGCACTTTTCACACCAAAGTACGTTCATCTCTAGGAGACAGAACGCGTCTCCTTCCTGAGCGGTATGACGGCTGCGTGATCCCATGGTGTTTACACTTGCGTACTATTGTTTGTACAGATGAATGTGGTACCTTCAGGCGTTTGGAAATTGCTCCCAAGGATGAACCAGACTTGTGGAGGTCTACAATTCTTTTTCTGAGGTCTTGGCTGATTTCTTTTGATTTTCCCATGATGTCAAGCAAAGATGCACTGAGTTTGAAGGTAGGCCTTGAAATACAGTCGTGGTCTAAAGTTTTGAGAATGACACAAATATACATTTTCACAAAGTCTGCTGCCTCAGTTTTAATGATGGCAATTTGCATATACTCCAAAATGTTATGAAGAGTGATCAGATGAATTGCAATTAATTGCAAAGTCCCTCTTTGCCGTGAAAATGAACTTAATCCCAAAAAAACATTTCCACTGCATTTCAGCCCTGCCACAAAAGGACCAGCTGACATCATGTCAGTGATTCTCTCGTTAACACAGGTGAGAGTGTTGACGAAGACAAGGCTGGAGATCACTCTGTCATGCTGATTGAGTTAGAATAACAGACTGGAAGCTTTTGAAAGGAGGGTGGTGCTTGAAATCATTGTTCTTCCTCTTTTAACCATGGTTACCTACAAGGAAACACGTGCCGTCATCATTGCTTTGCACAAAAAGGGCTTCACAGGCAAGGATATTGCTGCTAGTAAGATTGCACCTAAATCAACCATTTATCGGATCATCAAGAACTTCAAGGAGAGAGGTTCAATTGTTCTGAAGAAGGCTTCAGGGTGCCCAAGAAAGTCCAGCAAGCACCAGGACCGTCTCCTAAAGTTGATTCAGCTGCGGGATCGGGGCACCACCAGTGCAGAGCTTGCTCAGGAATGGCAGCAGGCAGGTGTGAGTGCATCTGCACGCACAGTGAGGCGAAGACTTTTGTAGGATGGCCTGGTGTCAAGAAGGGCAGCGAGGAAGCCACTTCTCTCCAGGAAAAACATCAGGGACAGACTGATATTCTGCAAAAGGTACAGGGATTGGACTGCTGAGGACTGGGGTAAAGTCATTTTCTCTGATGAATCCCCTTTCCGATTGTTTGGGGCATCTGGAAAAAAGCTTGTCCGGAGAAGACAAGGTGAGCGCTCCCATCAGTCCTGTGTCATGCCAACAGTAAAGCATCCTGAGACCATTCATGTGTGGGGTTGCTTCTCAGCCAAGGGAGTGGGCTCACTCACAATTTTGCCAAAGAACACAGCCATGAATGAAGAATGGTACCAACACATCCTCCGAGAGCAACTTCTCCCAACCATCCAAGAACAGTTTGGTGACGAACAATGCCTTTTCCAGCATGATGGAGCACCTTGCCATAAGGCAAGTGATAACTAAGTGGCTTGGGGAACAAAACATCGACATTTTGGGTCCATGGCCAGGAAACTCCCCAGACCTTAATCCCATTGAGAGCTTGTGGTCAATCCTCAAGAGGCGGGTGGACAAATAAAAACCCACAAATTCTGACAAACTCCAAGCATTGATTATGCAAGAATGGGCTGCCATCAGTCAGGATGTGGCCCAGAAGTTAATTGACAGCATGCCAGGGCGGATTGCAGAGGTCTTGAAAAAGAAGGGTCAACGCTGCAAATATTGACTCATTGCATAAACTTAATGTAATTGTCAATAAAAGCCTTTGTCACTTATGGAATGCTTGTAATTATACTTCAGTATACCATAGTAACATCTGACAAAAATATCTAAATACACTGAAGCAGCAAACTTTGTGAGGACCAATACTTGTGTCATTCTCAAAACTTTTGACCACGACTGTACATCCACAGGTACACCTCAAATCGACTCAAATTATGTCAATTAGCCTATCAGAAGCTTCTAAAACCATGACATCATTTTCTGGAATTGTCCAAGCTGTTTAAAGGCACAGTCAACTTAGTGTATGTAAACTTCTGACCCACTGGAATTGTGATACAGTGAATTATAAGTGAAATAATCTGTCTGTAAACAATTGTTGGAAAAATTACTTGTGTCATGCACAAAGTAGATGTCCTAACCGACTTCCCAAAACTATAGTTCGTTAACAAGAAATTTGTGGAGTGGTTGAAAAACGGGTTTTAATGACTCCATCCTAAGTGTATGTAAACTTCCGACTTCAACTGTAGCTGACCTATCCCTATCCGTACTTTAATATTCAATTTAAGTGTGTTCTGCTGTCAGAGGAAAGGTGCTTCTTATTGTTAAACCTGAGCGGTTGTGCTCAGAACCTACAGTACGTGAGAAAAACACAAAACGAAGCACTTTTCAATTTGACGGCATTGTTAAACATTCTTACCTTAACTTTTTCTGGTCCTGCGAGAGAAAAATGAATGACAAAACACCAAAGAAATAATTCACTAATCGTGTATCACACCATACATTTTACACCGAGCACACTACGAAACACCGTCACCACAAGATACAACTAACTATGAGAAGGCCACATGGAGGACCTTTTCAGTTAGTTTCCAAATGAAAATGAATGAGCAACTAAAAGCATATTTGAACAACATGCAAAGACGACATGCAGAGAGAAAATGGAAAGGACAAAAAATACGTATTTCATTCTCTGTTAAAGTGATAGTATGAGATCTAGCCTAAGTAACAATCACAGCAAAGTAAAACTAGGAACTTCTCCCATACATATCAAAACGCACACACATTCTAACATACTGCTTTACCATCCTTAGATCTGATTCAAATGTCAGGGTCAAGTGAGGCCATTCAATTCTTGGAATCATGCTGACCAAAATAAATATGGAACAGAGTCCATTGAGGCATTTAATAGCTAAATTACATTTGTTTCCTTGAAATATTTATAATTCAATTCAGGGGCCAAGTTCATATGGTATTTTTCTAGATAATATCTTCAATGTGGAACACCATGCCTCTTTAGTTTCAATACAATACGGGCAGTTGATTCTGTTAAAATAGTTTTGACAACTTTGGGAGTAGTTTGGTACAAGTCAGAGATAGTAAAGCAGGATCTATGCTACCAATGTCATGCAGCAGACCAAAACTAACCAGATTGAGCAAACTAAGCCTAAAGAAAATACAAAACCATGATAGACACTAATACTGCATCTAAACACACTAGTAGGACACACATGACTGACACACACCATAGAACTGAGGGGTAAGAACTCAGGACTGAGAGCTGAGTAGTGATACTACTGCTTCCCGTGTCAACAGATCCCACAGCCAGACCAGTGGCTTGGAGCTGTCAGTCACTAAACCACACCGGATGGGCTCCCCTTTCTGGCCTAGCCTGGCCTAGGGTACGCACCGACTGAATGACTGGCTGAGTGGCTGGCTGCCTTACTGTGTGACTGGCTGACTAACTGACTGCTGATGCCGGGAGGAAAAGGTCAATATTCAGATATGAGGATCCTAAATACATACTGGATTATGGCTACACTGTGTGAGACACCCATTGGTTGGTTTAGACAGACAGCCCAGGCCATAGCACCAAACTGGCTGGATTATTGAACACTGACCTTAAAGCACCAACTGGCTAGTTGAATTATACTTCACACTGCCAGAATCCACTTATTGGACTGCTAGAGAGGCGGTGGAAATAATACTTTTCAATTGTGCTTGTTTTGGGGAGCCTCTAGCATTCTACCCAGCAACAAACCAAATGGCACATTTATGTTCCAATCGCGGCGTACACATCAAACCACAAAAAGGGCTGACACCCTTTCCTGCACGAGTGCTGGGGACCACTTCTGCAATGCAGCTCTGCGCTTTACTGCACAATACCAAATGCATTGTAGGTGGTGCGCAACCAACTACAACGCAAGGGTTGAGAAACCCACCCCCCCCTACCCAAAATCATAACACAGTATAGATAAGTGAGTCTTGTGGAACCTTAGACAGGCTTACACTCAACAGAAAACAGCTAGATGGCAAAAATGTGTGGGAGTTCAGAGTCATCATCTTAGATATGAGGTAGGGTTGGATCACACGATTAAAGTGATAATCAGATTATCAGTGATCTTAAACAGTAGTTATTGCTAGTGATTATGCCATAGCCAACAGTTAGCCTACATGGTGGTTAATTTGCCATGGGTCTGAGTAGGAAGATGCCTGGCTCTGGTCTTTGTGTGGAGTGATGGTAGGTTATTGACTAAGAGAGATGTCTGCACAGTGAAGGGAGGCCAGGATGCAGAAAGGTGTAGATAAACATCCTGGGCCTTGTGGTTAGCTCCGCTCTAGATCCTTCAGTTAACGTTATGGGAACTAAAGCAGAGCGGTAGTGGCTAGGTATATAAAGACTGGTCTGGACAGAGAGAGAGAGTATCACTGAGCTCAACTTACAGAACTGAAGTCTGCAAAACCCAAGGAAGAGTCTTTAGAGGCTTTACTTGAGGAAGATGGAGCAAAAGGTTCTTTGCCACTAAAGGGGTCTCCAACCCCCTTTTTACTCTGAAAGGGGTCGATGGCGTCACTGCCGAACGGCTGGAAGGGGTCGCAGGGCTTGGCCGAGTCGCCTGCTCCTCCAGGCATGTTGACGGGGGTGCTTTTACCTGAGGATATTGAGACAATAAGGACACAGTCATTTCCCCTATAGAAGAGACCACAGCAGAGATATGGGGTACTTCCATGTGAACTATTAACATGTTACACTGATGTCTCAAATATTAAATGTGTGGTTACGAAGACAACTACAAGTATTAGGTGATGGTTTGATCACTTTTACCATGGAAATGAGATGTTTTTCCTTATCAATGTCTGCTCGCTACAGCCTTCCCACCCCCCCAAACGCTGACCCCACCCCCCAACTCCACTTCTCGCCTCACGAGAGAGTTCTATCATGAAAAGCTTTGAAAACCACAGCAGTTTCAGCTACACTCGTGGTGCACCAAAACCACAAGCAGCTCAACATAAACAAAATAGAGAGCACACAAACAATGCAGAGATACTAAATTGTACTGAAACAACATGCCAGCATGGTATGAATTAAACACACATTAAATTACATGCATTAACCAGTATCAAAATACAGTGGGGAAAAAAAGTATTTAGTCAGCCACCAATTGTGCAAGTTCTCCCACTTAAAAAGATGAGAGAGGCCTGTAATTTTCATCATAGGTACACGTCAACTATGACAGACAAATTGAGAAAGAAAATCCAGATAATCAAATTGTAGGATTTTTTATGAATTTATTTGCAAATTATGGTGGAAAATAAGTATTTGGTCACCTACAAACAAGCAAGATTTCTGGCTCTCACAGACCTGTAACTTCTTCTTTAAGAGGCTCCTCTGTCCTTCACTCGTTACCTGTATTAATGGCACCTGTTTGAACTTGTTATCGGTATAAAAGACACCTGTCCACAACCTCAAACAGTCACACTCCAAACTCCACTATGGCCAAGACCAAAGAGCTGTCAAAGGACACCAGAAACAAAATTGTAGACCTGCACCAGGCTGGGAAGACTGAATCTGCAATAGGTAAGCAGCTTGGTTTGAAGAAATCAACTGTGGGAGCAATTATTAGGAAATGGAAGACATACAAGACCACTGATAATCTCCCTCGATCTGGGGCTCCACGCAAGATCTCACCCTGTGGGGTCAAAATGATCACAAGAACGGTGAGCAAAAATCCCAGAACCACACGGGGGGACCTAGTGAATGACCTGCAGAGAGCTGGGACCAAAGTGACAAAGCCTACCATCAGTAACACACTACGCCGCCAGGGACTCAAATCCTGCAGTGCCAGACGTGTCCCCCTGCTTAAGCCAGTACATGTCCAGGCCCGTCTGAAGTTTGCTAGAGTGCATTTGGATGATCCAGAAGAGGATTGGGAGAATGTCATATGGTCAGATGAAACCAAAATAGAACTTTTTGGTAAAAACTCAACTCGCCGTGTTTGGAGGACAAAGAATGCTGAGTTGCATCCAAAGAACACCATACCTACTGTGAAGCATGGGGGTGGAAACATCATGCTTTGGGGCTGTTTTTCTGCAAAGGGACCAGGACGACTGATCCGTGTAAAGGAAAGAATGAATGGGGCCATGTATCGTGAGATTTTGAGTGAAAACCTCCTTCCATCAGCAAGGGCATTGAAGATGAAACGTGGCTGGGTCTTTCAGCATGACAATGATCCCAAACACACCGCCCGGGCAACGAAGGAGTGGCTTCGTAAGAAGCATTTCAAGGTCCTGGAGTGGCCTAGCCAGTCTCCAGATCTCAACCCCATAGAAAATCTTTGGAGGGAATTGAAAGTCCGTGTTGCCCAGCGACAGCCCCAAAACATCACTGCTCTAGAGGAGATCTGCATGGAGGAATGGGCCAAAATACCAGCAACAGTGTGTGAAAACCTTGTGAAGACTTACAGAAAACGTTTGACCTGTGTCATTGCCAACAAAGGGTATATAACAAAGTATTGAGAAACTTTTGTTATTGACCAAATACTTATTTTCCACCATAATTTGCAAATAAATTCATAAAAAATCCTACAATGTGATTTTCTGGATTTTTTCTCTCTCATTTTGTCTGTCATAGTTGACGTGTACCTATGATGAAAATTACAGGCCTCTCTCATCTTTTTAAGTGGGAGAACTTGCACAATCGGTGGCTGACTGAATACTTTTTTTCCCCACTGTACATGGCGAGAGTCATTTTCTCTTTTATGCTGGGTTTTATGGTGAGCAGATGGGTAGAGTTTATGCCCACATAACCAACACAAGTTTCAGTTCACAAGTTCATCAGATCTCTCCTCAGTGGGTGATTTTAGAGTTTTTGTGAGGCCTAGATGCTACATGCCTAGGGCCAGGAGTTGTTAATGACCACATGACCTTACCAAGAACAACTAACTAGGGCCCAGAGTTATACCTGGTTATGTCAGGAAAAACTTCTGGCCTTAGTTATGCCAACTCATTGTATTCGCCATCTTCATTTCCACATAGGTTAAATATGTAAATAATTTAACTGAACTGAAACGACTCTAAATTAAGCCCATGTTAACATGGTAGAGATGTTTCTAAGCCGTGGGAATGTAGTGCTGGTTGTTGTTGCTTCTGAAGGTGTTAACCACGTTGTCAATCGAGCTGTTATTTATACCAGGCCTGCCAAGGTTAGTAGTTCACAGTCACTGAACAGCTAGGCAATCAGTTTCTCTCTTTCAGTAAATGGCACATACTCTTCACCACAAACCGTCAGCTCCACCCTGCTCCAAAATACCAGCACATTATCAATGCCGTCTATCAATGTCATGCACAAGGCACACCTCAGAGCCCCACAAACAAAGGTTCTGACATTATTCTCATAACATATATCATATGTCCTATTCATGATTGACTGTAGAAAAATAAGAGATATCTACATCAAACTATCACTCTATGTCGTGACCTTTCACTTGTTGCAAATTCTGCTCTACCCTAATTTGGATACATAAACCCAGGTGTGAAAGAGGTTTAGATATGGCATTGGGCAGGGCACAGAGTGTGACCAGAGTTGGGCAAGAGGTCGCCAGAGAAGCTACACTGCTCACCCGAGTGTGTACACACACACAGTGGAAACAGAGGAAGTGGGGAAGGGTGGAGTTGAGAACATTGGGTGATCTGGTGTCAGCATGGCCAACCACAGATCATCTGTGTATTCCTGTGAGAACTGTTGTTCTGTGTTCTCACTGCAGCCTGGCATCAGGGTTGATCTCTCAAGCAATAGTCTAATAGTCATCCAGTTCCAGTCATCTAACACTAATCTCAAGCAAGGATTTTACAGATAGGGGATGTTTAGCTACAATTCATTATTTTTTTCTAAATCTAATGGAAAAGTAACTAAGCACACAAACCACACACATGCATAAAAGTTGCATCTGCTATATAATAATGTGTACAGTGTACCTAGGCTACAGTGAAATTACACTGCATATTGCATACATGGTTTTACGATAAAGTGGGGCCCCTTTAATACTAATATGTGGTGAAATCTTAATATCGTGGCCAATTCAACTTCCTTTGTGAGGTTTAAATGGTGAAATAAGACTTTCACTAACTAACTTCATGGCTAAAAAGCACATTGTGTTGCTTCTAAGTTGAGCAGAGTTACTGCATAGGCAACTGCAAACCTGTTCTGTTTATTCAATCTTCGAAAGGAGAATGAAAAGGACACTTGTTTGGCAGAGATGATGAACGTATCTGTACCCATGAAGTGCCTTTCCTGTTTACAACCAAGTAGAGCTCAGGGTGGAAAGAAAAGGGGTTTTCATGCCAGTCAAAAACAATGTTTCTGAGCTGCAGTGAGAATTGCTGTTTGATCTATGACTAGCATATTCTACTTTTATCATGCAGAGGTAAGAAGGCAACACCAGCTGAGTTTAGGCTTCAAAGACTATACAGGTCCCTTACAACAGCTTCTAGTGAACTATGTTCTAACAGTCAGAAGATACAGTGCATTCGGAAAGTATTCAGACCCCTTCCCTTTTTCTACATTTTGTTATGTTAAAGCCTTATTTTAAAATGGATTAAATAAAAAGTTTTCTTCATCAATCTACACACAACACCCCATAATGATAAAGTGAAAACAGAAATGTTTGTAAATGTATTACAAATAAAAAAACAGAAATACCTTATTTACATAAGTATTCAGACCCTTTGCTATGAGACTCGAAATTCAGCTCAGGTGCATCCTGTTTCCATTAATCATCCTTGAGATGTTTCTACAACTTGATTGGAGTCCACCTGTGGTAAATTCAATTGATTGGACATGATTTGGAAAGGCACACACCTGTCTATATGAGGTCCCACAGTTGACAGTGCATGTCAGAGCAAAAACCAAGCCATGAGGTCAAAGGAATATGAGGTCCGTAGAGCTCAGAGACAGGATTGTGTCGAGGCACAGATCTGGGGAAGGGTACCAAAAAAATTCTGCAGCATTGAAGGTCCGCAAGAACACAGTGGCCTCCATCATTCTTAAATGGAAGAAGTTTGGAACCACCAAGACTCTTCCTAGAGCTGGCCGCCCGGCTAAACTGAGCAATCGGGGGAGAAGGGCCTTGGTCAGGGAGGTGACTAAGAACCTGATGGTCACTCTGACAGAGCTCCAGAGTTCCTTCCAGAAGGACAACCATCTCTGCAGCACTCCACCAATCAAGCCTTTATGGTAGAGTGGCCAGACGGAAGCAACTTTTCAGTAAAAGGCACATGACAGCCCGCTTGGAGTTTGCCAAAAAGCACCTAAAGGACTCTGAGACCATGAGAAACAAGATTCTCTGGTCTGATGAAACCAAGATTGAACTCTTTGGCCTGAAAGCCAAGTGTCACGTCTGGAGGAAACCTGGCACCATCCCAACGGTGAAGCATGGTGTTAGCAGCATCATGCTGTGGGGATGTTTTTCAACGGCAGGGACTGGGAGAATAGTCAGGATTGAGGGAAAGATGAGAGTGAAAGTACAGAGATATCCTTGATGAAAACGTGCTCCAGAGCAAAGGTTCACCTTCCAACAGGACAACGACCCTAAGCACACAGCCAAGACAACGCAGGAGTGGCTTTGGGACATGTCTCTGAATGTCCTTGAGTGGCCCAGCCAGAGCCCAGACTTGAACCCGATCGAACATCTCTGGAGAGACCTGAAAATAGCTGTGCAGCGACGCTCCCCATCCAACCTGACAGAGCTTGAGAGGATCTACAGAGAAGAATGGGAGAAACTCCCCAAATACAGGTGTGCCAATATTGTAGCGTCATACCCAAGAAGACTTGAGGCTGTAATCGCTGCCAAAGGTGCTTCAACAACGTACAGCATAAAGGGTCTGAATACTTATGTAAATGTGATATTTAATTTTTTTTTTTTTTTTTACTGTTTGCCAAAAATTCTAAAAACCTGTTTTTGCATTGTCATTATGGGGTATTGTGTGTAGATTAATGAGGGGGGGGGGAACTATTTAATCCGTTTTAGAATAAGGCTGTAACGAAACAAAATGTGGAAAAAGTCAAGGGGCCTGAATACTTTCCGAATGCACTGTATGTCATGATAAGCCATGCCATCCATACTCACAACGTTCTTCTGTGTGTTTCACTAGAAGAACAAAACAAAAGAGGGGAACACTTACAGTGAGGTGACAAAGACCATAAGAGGGGAAAAGACAAAGGGATAGTAAACAATTACAATTCTATAACACAGAACTACAGAAGTAGGATCATCATTTGGTCACTCTTTTGTTGCTGAGAATGTTCCTGCACAACAGGAAATGCAAACTTGTAGTATATTTGAGTTATAAAAAGGCTTCTAAAGTTTGTAATTTCCACTTAGAAATGTCCGACTTGATTTTCCCTAATGAAAAATGTATCAACCCCTACAGAAATGTCAATTAAAGGGGAATGGAAACACTTCAGGAAGTTAAGCGGAACAAAGCGATGTATTCAATCCACTAATACCAAACATGCTTGTAACATAGAAATATCTCTATTTTAAAGTATTTTGATCTTGAACAACGTTTATTAGAAGTATGGGTAGCGCCATCTTGAATTGCCATAGTAATGACTGACGCCAATGCGTCATTGGTAGAAGTGAACAAATTGTGTTTTGGCATGGAGACTGAAAGTGAATGCTGCCACCGGGAGGCGCCTCGCCTCTAGTGGACCTGAATGGTTTCTTACAACTTTGACAGCTCTGTCACTGAGATCAGGACAACAATATTAATTACGGTAAGAGACTGTATACAATTCAATTTTATGTTGGTAATTACAATATGTACTTTTTAGAGTATTTTTTCTGATTGATAAGATGAGTCTGTCTGTGAAATGACATTTTGATAACAAGCCCAGTAGACAATCAGCCAAAACGAGGCAAGGTAGCTAGCTAGCCTACTTGATTTAGCTCTTCTCGTCTTGTCATTTTGATGTAAATGTTTTCATTGATGACTGTACAAAATAAAATAGAAGAGCATTTGTCGTTAGGCATGAGCTAGACCTAGCTAAAACAAACAAAGTGATTAGATTTAGCTAGCCAGCCAGCCAGCCAGAAGAGAGGGCTGCTGCAGGATTGCTATTTTACCAGTAAAATGTAGCTATGATACCCATATAGCTAGGTAGCTACAGTAACTACATAGCTAGATATCTTTCGATATATTATGTGTATTTTTATCTGTGATAGCTATGATTGCAAGAATGAATGTAGCCTAAGCCTGAAGCCTAACCCTTATGATGATAGCTAGCTAGCTATACTTTTGCAAGCTCAGATTGGTAGTCAGCTTGGTAAATTATCCTGGTTTAGCTGGTTATTTGCTACTTACAGGCATACATTATAATATTATTTCAGTTATTTTACGTTTTCTCAAATGTGAGTGAAAACCTTTGGATAATAAAATTGAACTTTGTCACCTTTCAAGCCGATTGATAACTTGTACAATTCCCTTCCAGTCATGATTGTGGGTTCACTTCCCACGGGGGGGTATAAAAAATAATGTATGCACTAACTGTAAGTCGCTCTGGATAAGAGCGTCTGCTAAATGACAACAACAACAAAAAATGATTCCCTTTTTTCTGTGCTGAAGGTTCATCGCTACATGGGGAAGATGAGGACAAAGAGGATGAGATTGAAATGGAGGAGCCAGATGAAGTTGGAGCCACCACGTGATGCTTCTGCCTCTCAGCCAAGCTTTTTGACTGGAAGGTAACTGTCAATTATGTATTATTGTAATGTACTAATAGGCCTATAAATTAGGTCTATGTTATTTTAAATACTTTCCCTCTCTCTGTCCCTGTCTCTGTCTATAGGACACTGTGGTGGACTGTCAGCTAACATACCTTTTTTTAGGAGATCGATACTATAGACATGTCACCTGTGCGCCAGGCAGTCAATAGCTGCCCCCACGGTGGCAAGGATAGGCAGGGGCTAGAGAGACTGGAGAACATGCTGCTGAGGCTGCAAACAGGGCTGAGGGGAAATCACACCCTCACATGACACATACATAGATCTACATTCCATACATAAATACTAGTAATGGGTCTCTTAGTCTTCACCCAGTAGCTCAGAGTGTTCCTCTGGTCATTTCCCCTTTCTTTCATGCTTTTAATTTGTTCTCATACTGACTCTTTGTGTATTAGGCTACAGGACTAGCGGAATGTGATAGCATGATGTAACTTGCACATTTTTCAGGTTTGAATGAGACAATGTATTCCCCTAACCTTATTCTTTCAATAAAGTTATTGTTTTATTAATATTATATTACTTGTGCATGTCTTTCCATAGCACATGTAAGACTAAATGCTATTTGTAATATGTTTTGGTGCATATACAGTACCAGTCAAAAGTTTGGACACACCTACTCATTAAAGGTTTTTCTTTATTTTACTATTTTCTACATTGTAGAATAATAGTGAAGACATCAAAACTATGAAATAACACATATGGAATCATGTAGTAACCAAAAAAGTGTTAAACAAATCAAAATATATTTTATATTTGAGATTCTTCAAAGTAGCCACCCTTTGCCTTGATGACAGCTTTGCACACTCTTGGCATTCTCTCAACTAGCTTCATGAGGAATGCTTTTCCAACAGTCTTGAGTTCCTAACATATGCTTAGCATAAAGGGCTGTTTCTTAGCTTTCAAAATATGGACCATGTTTTCATACATGTATATGGTCTCAGTAAATTCAGGAATTCCAAAACTCTCTTATCGATGATCTAACAATGCCAATATGGCAATTTACAGTTACAGTTAGCTGGTGTTCTAAAGCCTAGTGTTTCCATTCCCCTTTCATTATAATCCACATAATAATTCACATTGTCTGTTGCTGCAGGATTATTTTCCTGCTGTAACAAACTGGCTCAAATTAAAATCCTACATCTGTAAGATGAAATGGACCTATATTGCGAAGAGTAATGCTGATACATTAATTAATGTAAAATAGTAAATTAATCTATATGTCACGCCCTGACTCAGGGGACTCTTATTTGTTGAGTCAGGGTGTGATTTTCTATGTGGTGTATATCTATGTTTATGTTCTAGTATGTGTAGTTCTATGTTGGCCGGTGTGGTTCCCAATCAGAGGCAGCTGTCACTCGTTGTCTCTGATTGGGGATCATACTTATGCAGCCTATTGGCACTCGTTAAGTTGTGGGATCTTGTTCCGTGTGGGGTATGTTGTTTGTGTCTACCTTGGACTTCACGTTTTGTTTAGTTTGTTGTTTTGTCGTTGTGTTTATTTGTTATAATAAACATGTATGCATATCACGCTGCGCCTTGGTCCGTCCCGTCTATGAACGAAGGTGACACTATATGATGACATGGCACAGTGAGTGGTAGCTGAATCACCCAGTGGTGCAGGGCCCGTGACAGAGAGGAGTAGTATTACTCATAGTGAAACATAGGCGGGTGGCATTACCTGTCCTTGGTTAACCCACTACCTCCCCCTCATTTAAAAAAATTTCCCCTTTCCCTCTGTCTCTCTGTGGCCCAACAATCATCTTTGTCTTGCTCTCTCTCTTCTACAATCACTCTCTATTCTCCCACTTACTCCCTCCCTCCACTTCTCCCTGTTTTCCCTCAGGCCTTACTCACCACTGGGTGGTTTGGGTCTGGGTGGAATGCTCTTCTTGGGCGGCAGAGCTGGGCCGTCCTGCTTTCTACTGAAGGGGTCGTCCACGAACCCCGACTGGAGAGGGGGAGGGAGAGACAGACAAACAAATGTATGAGCCCTCAGATGCCACAGCTGAAGATATCAGTCTTCACAACTGTCAAGTGCCAACTCATATCAAGACTGATGCACAGTTGAAGTCGGAAGTTTACATACACTTAGGTTGGAGTCATTATTCAACCACTCCACACATTTCTTGTTAACAAACTATAGTTTTGGCAAGTCGGTTAGGACATCTACTTTGTGCATGACACAAGTAATTTTCCCAACAATTGTTTACAGACAGATTATTTCACTTATAATTCACTGTATCACAATTCCAGTGGGTCAGAAGTTTACATACACTAAGTTGACTGTGCCTTTAAACAGCTTGGCCATCACAAAGCCCTGACCTCAATCCTATAGAAAATGTGTGGGCAGAACTGAAAAAGCCTGTGCGAGCAAGGAGGCCTACAAACCTGACTCAGTTACACCAGCCCGACCTCAATCCTATAGAAAATTTGTGGGCAGAACTGAAAAAGCCTGTGCGAGCAAGGAGGCCTACAAACCTGACTCAGTTACACCAGCTCTGTCATGAGGAATGGGCCAAAACTCACCCAACTTATTGTGGGAAGCTTGTGGAAGGCTACCCGAAACGTTTGACCCAAGTTAACCAATTTAAAGGCAATGCTACCAAATACTAATTATTCTGACCCACTGGGAATGTGATGAAAGAAATAAAAGCTTAAATAAATCATTCTCTCTACTATTATTCTGACAGTTCACATTCTTAAACTAAAGTGGTGATCCTAACTGACCTAAGACAGGGAATTTTTACTAGGATTAAATGTCAGGAATTGTGAAAAACTGAGTTTAAATGTATCTGGCTAAGGTGTATGTAAACTTCCGACTTCAACTGTATGTCCATTGAAATGAGTAAAACTACACAAACGGTTAATTGTGCACCACAGGATAGGAAATATGCAGTCTACTGAATGAATAGATGCAATACAAAAGTTCATAGTCTTTGGTAGAAGTACCTGCTGGTATTCTGGAAAGCCTCCTCTTCCTTCCATCGGGTCTCTGACCTTTGACATTTGGCTGAAGTCTGCAAACCCACTGTTACTGCCAAATGAGCTGTTACTGCCTCCAAAGGCAGTACTGCTTCCAAAGGGGTCCAGCGTGCCAAAGAGATCTGAGAAAATATCAACATGAAACATTCAAGGTGTAGGTTATCCAGAACAAATACACAAATGTTCAAAGTATTCGAAAGGATTCTCTATCACACATGACTGAGATGAGTTGTGCTTCCAGAGTCATTGCTCAAAGGTTGGCACACTGTTGCATCAAGGTTTCACTGTTTGACTCCTGAGTGTATTTAACCCTGTATAGTTTCAGTCAAGAAAAAGGAGCAGCTTGAAAATAGGCAAGACAAAATTAGCTGGTGAAAAAAAAAGAGAATTTCAAGTAGTTGGCGTGACACCTTCTCTCTCAGCTCATAATTGTAATAAGCAAACTAACATGAAAACCTGACCCTACAAACATCCAACTGCCACAGTCAACCCAGTGTTCTAGCATGGCTACGGGACTTCAATACTGCATGGCGTAATGTGTTTCTATGGACTACAGCAATTCCCTAGGGAAAATAAAGAGAAATGAAGAGTTGATTGAGAATGGGACCTACACACTTACACAGTTACAGATTGCCCTGTCCAAGGCCTCTCTAGGCTACAGTGTTTCAGATGCCATAAGCCATCCTCTGTGCCCAAGCCACAATGCATCTCCTGTTTTCACTGGGACTATTTCAAGAATTTTAAGTGATCCATGTGCTGCTAAGAATGGGAACCTTAGTAAAAAATATATAACATCTCACAAGAACCTCAACTGTTTCCCACTCTTAAAACCATTAGGGTCATTATTTTACCCATCTTATCCATACAAATTCTATTTGAGGCATTGATGTCTTTTAACACTGATATGTGTTAACCACCAGCACCCAAACACTTCCTGGCACAATGGTAGATTTATTTTTACTGAGACCTACTGAGAGAAAACGGATTTTAAACATGGGAACTCTCTTCACAGCTTCTTGACACCTGTTCTGCTGTTAAGACAGCTCACCACCCCACAGGCCTATATGCCGATATACTCAGAACAGCAGGCTGGGCCAAAAAGGTGTGAAAATAAAACAAATGCTTCCGATTAGCTCATTTATCCCACCTCCTCTCCCCTGTAACTATACCCCAGGTCGTTGCTGTTAATAATACTTTTTTTTAATACAAAAAGTGCATGCTTCTCTCTGAATACAAAAATCAGACTTATACAAGCCATGCCTGAGAGAGAGTGATGAGGAGAGGGGTAGCGTAAAGAGGACTTGGGGTTGAGGTCTTGTTCAGTGGGGTGGGGGGGGAATAGAAGAATAGGAAAAAGCAAGTACCTGGTCCTGGGCCTGAGCAAGTACCTGGTCCTGGGCCTGAGCAAGTACCTGGTCCTGGGCCTCTGGTGGGTTTTGGGCTAATGGATATGAAAGGGTCTGTGTTGGTTGTAAAGTGACTAGTCTGCAAGAACAAGCATAAAGAAACAGTTACATACATATACACCCATATATAAACTGAGTGGTTAGAAAGTGCCACAGTACCTTGGTGGGGAGCGTGGCACTTTTACTGAAGGGGTCGGGTGTGCTGAAGGGGTCTGCCTTGATGGTGGTCTTCTTGAAGAAGTCTTCCGACGAGGCCTTGAAGGGGTCCGTCTCTTTGAAGGGGTCCCCCCCAAAGGGGTCTGGGTGGAGAGAGAGATCTAGGAGAGCTCAGTGTAGCAGACTGTGGATCAGACTTGACCTTCCCTTTACATAGTCTAGTCTGACGGTTCCCTATACTTCACATAGAGACGCTATGTGAATAACGTTCATTGTAGTCTGTAGCATCTGGACCATAAGTCATATAGTAGCTGAGATAATGTGAGTCCAATTTGGTTAACCTCTTCAGTAAGAATCATATAATCCAGTTAGTCACTATGTTCAATGTTATTTCCCCTTATGACAGTTCCATTTATTGTTGGTAAAGAAACTGTTTAGAAATTATGGATATTATTTTAATCAGTTCAAAGCAGTGTGTGTTCAACTGTCATTGGCTTTGCTATAGTCAACATTGAGAACGTAGGCATTCTCCATTACGCAAGACAAACACAAGAAGTGTCTACAGACATTTGGCAATAACTATTAAAATAACATTCAACATTCAGCAAATATTTTCTCTGGAACATACGTCTTAAAGAAGAGGTAACTAAAATTCTACAATATTACAAAGAGAGAAGTGGGACGGTGAAGGAAGCCCGGTTGGACACAAGTTCCAGAGTGTCATTAACTTAACAAGAGGATGGCATTGTATGTAAGTCCATGTATAAGTTTAATTGTGTATGGCTCTTTCTGGTTATTTATAAATAAATACCTGCGGCCGCTGGTAGTGATGGCTGCTTTGCAAAAGGGTCGCTTTGGAAGGGGTCACCTACAGGAGAGGAGTTGAGAGGGGGGATGAGGGGGAGGGGGAGAAAACAATCAGAGGCTATGGCACAGAGGACAAAAGCTAAAACGTTGGAAGGGGGAATCTAAACCCAGAAGGATCAAAAACAAATTATAGAGCACACTTAAGGCAAACAAAGGCAGAACTGAAAAAACAAAGTCTTAGCCAAGCTGCAGAGGAGTCCACATTGCTTCTGGTGAAACTACAAATAATGTCAGGATAGGGAGGATGGGAGCACAGTGGGAACATTTGAGTGAGGAGGAGAGGAAACTCAAGCAGGACTATCTGAGGAGGAGAGGACGGAGGGATAACGGGAGAGATGAGTCAGATGGAAGGAAGAGATGAGCGATTGCAGAGGTCGTTGAAAGAGAAGGAGAGGAAAGGGAGAGAGGGAGAGGAGAGAGAATCAGCACCTTTGAACGGGTCTGTCTTGAAGGGGTCTTCGGAGTGGAAGGGGTCTGTGTGCATCTCCTGAGGGACGCTATTGAACCCAGATGTCTTCACCTTAAACGGGTCCTCCTGAGAAGGGGAGAAAAACATATTTGTCTGTTTGGCTCTGGAGAGCCGCCACCATCTCCAACCATTTTCCCCTCAGACAGACATTAAGGAGAAAAACCAACGCACGTCGACAAATGTGTTTATTCAGTCTCGCCGAGCTGTCAAACACGACAGCTATCAAATCAAATACTTCATATTTCAATAAGGGCCCACTCAGGTTCAAGTGGAGGAATTTGAGTTCAACAACACTAACAGAGACCTCGGAGAGAGGAATGTGTGCCTGAAGAAAAGCACCACTATTGCTGCTTACAGACTCGACCAGACCAGAGAGCCCTCCGAGCTTGAGTTTCACCATAATAACACAAAGGGAATTTTCATTCTTCTGCAATTTGCCCATTCTGTGTCTGCTGCGCCCCACAGCACTCAGCTGGTCCCAATGAAAAAGCACCCGAGTCGGTAGGAAACAACCATCTGTTAGGGCCCACATTCTTCAGGGTGTCGGGTTTCTCTAGAAAACCTGCCTTCACGTGCCAGGCTAGCCCTGGCTATGAAAACGCTAACTTGTTATGTTTCATTAGCAGGACTTCTCCTCTTTTCAATAAGAGGCCTGACCGTGATCCCTGTATTCACTCCGCCATGACATCCAACGCTGCCCAGAATTAGGGCCAAGAATAAGCGCTAAGTGTTCGAGCCCTTTTAAGACTAAATAACAGAGGGCTGCCAGGTAAAATAACAGCGTGAAAGAGTATTTAAGCCAAGATAATTACATTAAATAAGATATAACCAAACTATGGGATTAATATAACCCACTTAAGATTCTGTATGCCCCGGAGTCGCTCGTTTGAATGGAACATTTCTGACACTAAACGAGGGAAGAGATACCTCTTTTCTTTACAGGGAAAGGTTTAGAATATTCTCTTTATCTGATAAGATCCAGTAACACACAGCTGAATTTCACACCCAGGCCAGCAGGCGACAATGAATCATCATGTTACCATGATCTGCAGATGTGGCTGAAATGAACTACACCTTTACACTATGGCTGCCATCCATTGTTCAAGTCCAAATGTACCAGATGTGTTCAGTAGAGTAGAACAATAGGCAGTCATTCCATTGTTGGATACTCTGCTTTTCTAGGTTTAACCAGTTCTCCACTTGACACCAAGCATTCAACCTCAATGTACCTCTTTTATATACACTACATTGACAAAAGTATATGGACACTCCTTCAAATTAGTGGATTCGGCTATTTAAGCCACACCCATTGCTGACAGGTGTATAAAATTGAGCACACAGGCATGCAATCTCCATAGACAAACATTGGCAGTAGAATGGCCATTACTGAAGAGCTCAGTGACGTTCAACGTGGCCCCGTCATAGGATGTCACCTGTACAACAAATCAGTTCGTCAAATATCTGCCCTGCTAGAGCTGCCCCGGTCAACTGTAAGTGCTGTTATTATGAAGTGGAAACATCTAGGAGCCACAACGGCTCAGCCGCAAAGTGGTACGCCACACAAGCTTACAGAACGGGACTGCCGAGTGCTGAAGTGCTTGGCACGTAACAAAATTAAAATCTGTTGCAACACTCACTACCGAGTTCTAAACTGCCTCTGGAAGCAACATCAGCACAATAACTATTCTGGAGTGATGAATCACGCTTCACCACCTGTCAGTCCGATGGACGTATCTGGGTTTGGCGGATGCCAGGAGAACGCTACCTGCCCGAATGCATAGTGCCAACTGTAAAGTTTGGTGGAGGAAGAATAATGGTCTGGGGCTGTTTTTCATGGTTCGGGCTAGGCCCCTTAGTTCCAGTGAAGGGAAATCTTAATGCTACATCATTCAATTACATTCTAGACAATTCTGTGCTTCCAACATTGTGGCAACAGTTTGGGGAAGGCCCTTTCTTGTTTCAGCATGACAATGCCCCCGTGCACAAAGCGAGGTCCATACAGAAATGGTTTGTCAAGATCGGTGTGGAAGAACTTGACTGGCCTGCACAGAGCCCTGACCTCAACCCCATCGAACACCTTTGGGATGAATTGGAACACCGACTGCGAGCCAGGCCTATTCGCCCAACATGTGCCCGAACTCACTAATGCTCTTGTGGCTGAATGGAAGCAAGTCCCCGTGGCAATGTTATAACATCTAGTGGAAAGCCTTCCCAGAAGAGTGGAGGCTGTTATAGCAGCAAAAGGGGGACCAACTCCATATTAATGCCCAAGATTTTGGATGTTCGGCGAGCAGGTGTCCACATACATGTAGTGTATTACTATTACATGCTTACTTCTATAGTTTTACAAATAGAGCCACGTGACGTGGCTAGGAAAAACAAGTCATAGTTCCAGGGCCCAGAATTTAACCTCCTGAGCAGTGTGGTCTCCTCACCATGGCTCCGAACCCTCCGTTCTCGCGGTCGTGGAATCCCTCGCTCATGTCAGCCAGGTTGGTCATGCTGCCTCCGTGGGTCCCGTTCAGTGTGTTGTTGTACTGCTCGATGCTCTTAGTCATCTCCTGCTGGCTGTCCTGGATCTGAGACAGCTTACTGCGAGCCTGGAGGAACAGCACAGCACAACACAAACACAGTAGGTTAATGTAGGGTTTCTTTCAACACAGAGGATATTAGGGCTGTTAAGAGTAACAACACAGTTACGGTATATGTGAATGCATGTGTTTGTACATAAGGTTGTGATAACATCATTTCATCTGAATGTGTTCTTGAGAGACTTCATCAAAATCAGCCACCATCCCCAAATAATCTCTTTCAATTCAATATAGTGGCCTAATGGCTTTCCAAGAAACGGAGAGTGAGTGCATATTATTGCAGGTGATCGCGAGGAAATGATCAACCGGCGTGGCTCTACGACCCACTCAATGGCCTTTTGACGGTGGTGACGCAGTGAGACATAAGACACTACACACGGCTCCGACAAGCCCTGAATGGGACCAGTCATTTGTGAAGAGAAACCCTCTCACAATATGGCCCCGTGCAGGGCTCACTGAAGGAAACCTAGACACACGTTGACTCAGGGGAGGAGAGAGTCTCAGTGCAGGGATCACATGGTTCAGTTCACATTGCAGTGGCTACAGCTGAGTGCTGGTATTCCCCTTGGCTCCTCACAGATGGAGGTCTTAGAATACAACCGGGACTAGTGGTGTAATCTCAGTATGGTTTGAATTCACTGAGAGAAGAGTGATGAATGATGATATTAGTCAATATGATTTGGCGCTGCAGGGTATGGAAGTAGCTAAGTGCTGCTATCTGTTCATAATGAGAGTAGATCGGAATGGATGTTTCTCTCACTTATCTCAATGTAATGTAAGGGACGTTCCCCCACCTATAAAAGAGAACACAGCCATCTATGGCTCAGCATCCTCGGGGTGATATGAGAGATGTGAGAGTGTGATGTGAGATCTGAGGCGTGGGCTGGTGCTGTGGAAGTCATGTTAGATATGATGATTATGGTGGTGCAGAAAGTGGAGGTACAACATTTGATGCTCTAACTGAAACTGCCACACCCAAACCTGATTGAGGACGGATATCTCCCAATGAATTCAAGAGGGGTTAACTATGATGACATGCACTTTTAAAACTTCACTAGAATTTCTATGAAAATTAAGTACCCCTTCATTTTCCAGTCTGTGCTGAATATCTTCCAGAAGTGAAGACCAAGCACAAATTGAATCTGGCCATTTCTGTCATTCCTGACAAAAATTCTCCCCCTGGTGGTCACACTAGAAAGTGTCTTGCAACAGGTCCTCCCACATCCCAGACACATTAGCCTGATTCACACTCACTATAGGACAAAACCGAGCCGAGCCATGCTGAGCTGAATTGGGCTGGCTTGGTCATGCATCCACCATAGCTGTGCTGGAACCATGCTGGAAAGGACAATGTGACAATAAAATATCAAAGCCAGCATAGTTCGGGTTGGCCCTATAGTGTGAATCTGGTGTGATGAGTCGTTATCCTTAACCTTAACCCTAACCCCAACACGACTTCACTGTGTCTGGAACTTCTGCATATCTGACTGGGAGCATGTCGGTTGCCTCTCCTCTCCCTCTACCTGGTTCTCTCTCACCTGGTTGATCTCGTCCTGGGTGGCTTTGAGGGACTTGATGATGGTCTCCAGCTGGAACTTGCCGGCCGTTAGGCTCTGTTCCAGCTGGCTCTCCTCCAGCTGCAGCTGGTTCAGGTCTGCCTTGGCTCGACTCAGCTCCTCTTCTTGGCTCTGCAGGTCAGTCTCTTGGGAGTGGATCTGGTTCTGCAGGGACGAAATCTGGGGTAGAGAAAGAGATTGACAGCAAGAGACAGAAGGAGAGACAGCGAGGAAAGAAGAAAGTGGAGGATGTAAGCTATGCCTACCAGATTGATAGTGAAGGCTTTATGGCCTATAGGCTATGCCTTCGCTGCATTGTAGGCCTATGCCTCTTGAGGAAATCTGAGCTGAATTTCAAACTGTTATTTTGTGAGGCGCAGCCGGGAGCTACACTGAACAAAAATAGAAACGCATTTTTTTTTCTCAGTTACAGTTCATATAAGGAAATCAGTCAATAGAAATAAATAAATTAGACCCTAAACTATAGATTTCACATGACTGGGCAGGGGTGCAGGGCATAGGCCTGCCCACTTGGGAGCCAGGCCCACCCACTAGGGAGCCAGGCCCAGCCAACCAGAATTATTTTTTATGATAAAAGGGCTTTATTACAGACAGAAATACTCCTCAGCACCCCTTCCCCCCTTCCCCCCTCAGACGATCCCGCAGGTGAAGAAGCCCTATATGGAGGTCCTGGGCTGGCGTGGTTACACGTGGTCTGCAGTTGTGAGGCCAGTTGGACGTACTGCTAAATTCTCTAAAACGACGTTGGAGGCGATTTATGGTAGAGAAATGAACAGTAAATTATCTGGCAACAGCTCTGGTGGACATTCCTGCAGTCAGCATGTCAATTGCACGCTCCCTCAAAACTTGACACATCTGTAGCATTGTGTTGTGTTACAAAACTGCACATTTTAGTGGCCTTTTATTGTCCCCAGCATAAGGTGCACCTGTGTAATGATTGTGCTGTTTAATCAGCTTCTTGATATGCCACACCTGTCAGGTGGATAGATTATCTTGGCAAAGGAGAAATGCTCACTAACAGGGATGTAAACAAGCTTGTGCACAACATTTTAGAGAAATAAGCTTTTTGTGCATATGGAACATTTCTGGGATCTTTTATTTCAGCAGTTTAAATCTTCAGTTTGGGAACATTTTGCCAACACCTCAAATATGTTGACCCATTTACATCGACATCGTCCCAGTATACCGTACAAGACGGAAACGCTAAGAAACAACAACACAACATCTGCCCTTGGCAGCTGATTCTGACCGGGCCAAAGAAATTACAAGAGCGATATTTTGTACAGTCTTTGGTTTATAGCCGCGGATATGTGCCCATTCTCTGTGGTTGATAATAGTTGGTTTCAGGCAGCACCTCGTGAAAGTGCTCGAGCCACGTTACGAACTTCCCTCTTGCACCCATTTCAGCAAACAGGTAGTAACAGCTCTATATAAGCAAGCCAAAGCCTACGTTTTCAATGAATTGGCAAATCCACCCTGTTTTGCACTTACTTAACAGTGACAGCCCATCACATTACCTCAGAGTGGGAGATGTACCATGCTATAGACACCCCCTTTATGAGAGTCACAAGTGCGCATCAGGCATTGAAGGAGGCAGTGTCATGGTTCGTTCGTAACCAAGATGGAAGTGGGAATTTACCACATACAACTTGGAAAAATCCTGTTGAACGGCCCTAAAACTGGTAATTACTAGTGGGAAACTCGTCTATCATCCAGAGCACCCACTTCTCCCACATGCTAATAGCTTGTTGGCTATTAGCCAATCTGCCTTTCTCAACGAGTTCAAATCACATGAATGCATCCAACTGGTATTTAAGACTTCACAACTAGTAAATTCCCAACTCCCACATGGTTACAAACGCAGCATCAGAGTGGAAACTTGAGAGGCCCAACATAACAATCCGGTCACAACACACAATGCCAGGAAAATTGTGAATGGCATTTAATTTTCCTGTTGTACCGAAATCGAACCGAGCCGTGACCCCAAAACTGAAGGCTGCTAGGGGTTTCATATTGCTTCCATGATTACTACCAGACCACTGTCAAACCCCTCCCCTTCCCACTCTCACCATTTGGGACTCCTCATTGCACTTGATCCGGACGTCGTTGAGCATGTCCTCCAGCTTGGCCTTCTGCTGGTCCATCTCCTCCAGCCGCTCCTGAGCATCCTGATTCTGGGCCTCCAGCTCCTGTAAGCTGCACGTCTCTCTGTCCAGGTCATTCTGCATCTCCTGATGGACACACACACACACACACACACACACACACACACACACACACACACACACACACACACACACACGTAATCAGCACAACAATGACAATCAGGGAAAAGAGAAGGGAACTCTAAACATGATGATACACTACCTTGTTCAATTTAGAGAACCAGCATATGGCATAAAAAAAAACATATTGTATGTCAAAACCCCCTATTTTTTTCATGAGAAAATAGTATGCCTGCTCACCTGCACCTCCGAGGACTTGTTTCTGATGGCCTCCTCTGTCTCTCTGATGTCCTGCTCCAGCGTATACTTCTCCCTGAGAGAGAGAAAAACACAACCATCAACACACAACCTCCACCTCCCTTTCCTTCCAGCCCGCCACTCACACCCTCACACGCCCCCCAGCCACCGAGAACGCACACTCACACCCCCACAAACCCCTCGCCACAACCCTCCACCCTCCCCCCTCCCCCTCCCGCTCCACCTCTCTCACTCCATCTCACCTACCTCGACCACTCCCTCTCCTCCTCTACTCCCTCCTCCTCCACTCCTCTCCACCTCCCTCTCTCCTCCTCACACCTCCCTCTCCTCCTCCAACCTCCCTCTCCTCTCCACCTCCCTCTCCTCCTCCACCTCCCTCTCCTCCTCCATACACAAGATTACCACAAAAGAAAAACGACAGACGGTGACAGCCAAGAGAGGGTTACCTGAGTGCATTCCAGTGTGTAAAAGCAAGAGTGCTGACGCAGCATGAAGAGTAAGTGGTGAAAACAAAAGATTGATAAAATACACACATTTAAAAAAGGCTTGGACAGGGGGATGAGGTGGGATGAGGTTGAGAGGGAAGGACTCATCCACCACCCGGCTGTTACCATTCTTCTCCTTTGAAGTGTGTATGTTATCACCCATGCTACTGTGTTCCATATACAGTATCTATTAGTGTTGCACGGTATGCCGGTAGCTAGCTAACAACCTGGTAACTTCACAGCAGATCTAGGCACATTTGATTGGCACAGGGAGAAAGGAAAAGAGTTTGCTACTCATGAGATGTGCTTCAAAAGGTAGGATTCATATAGGCGTAATGTAAGCCTACACTATATAAAAATATATATCTCTTTCTGGTGCTCCTTACATTCTGTTTGGTGCCTCACGTTTTTAAAGTTGGGAGCAGTGTGTATGTTGTTTCTGGGAGAGAGAGAGTGGTGTGTGTGTGTTTATGAGGGAGACAGAGAGAGTGTGTGAGGGAGGGAGAGTGTTTGGCTGTGTGTTAACTGAAGAGTAAAGGTTTCATACAGTCTTTTCCCATTACTGCCACAATGACATGCAGATCATTATGCATGTATCCCTTTCTCCCATTCTTCCAGACAAATCACAGGTAGGCCTTTTATAGAGTGAACAGTGTAAAGTTAAATGTAATATGTGTTGTATTGAGTAGAAATGTGAATATCAGTGACAGGTTTTTTGTGTACCAAATGCGTATAACGTTTAGAAAATGGGAACCAGTATCGGGGGACGGGGCGAACCGGACGCTAGGCCCTCTGAATTCACCGTGGTACCACGATACTACCGTGATACAGTACTTGGCCTGGTATCGTATCGTTAGTAAAATGACTGGTATCGTGACAAACCAAATAGTTATAAGGCACCTGGTTCAAATGGAACGCTCACTTTAATCTGCTTAGCAGATTGTAGATATATTTATAAAAAAACAAAAGTGTATAGTTGCTCTGTTTATTCCATTTAGGTTAAACTATTGCTAAAACTGCAATGACTTAATCAAGTCGTTGAGTGATGATTGATGAAAAAGGAAATGAATGGAGGAACTCATACAGGGTGACATAAGCTGGATATGACATAACAAAGGAAAATCTTTGTCAGTGGCACAAACATGGCACAAACAACAGTAATAAGAAATTAAAACTATTTTGTGATCACTTTGAAAGGAAATTACACATTTGATATCTCCCAGTGTTGTGAATTACCTCTGCAGCTGAGCGATCTCTTGACTGATGTCGTCCAGCTCCTTGATTCCAGTGAACTCTGACCCTGACCCCACAGAACTGGAGCTGTCCTGTGGATGGACAGAAAGAGAAAGAGAAGAAGAGAAAGAAAGTGAGCCCCATTCTTAAGATGACCTAAGAGAGAGCCAGAGTGCCACGACACCAAACCATCCAGACCAAACCAGGGTAAAGAGACAGAGATCACAGGGAAGGAAGCACCTCAGAGGGACGGGCGACGGGGCGAGGGCAAAAAGGTCTGAGGGGAGTTGTTCACAACCGCCACGATCAGAAAACACAGGAGGTCAAGTCACACCACCGTTCACGGTCACTGAGTTCTCACAAATGCTTTTCATCTCTTTGGGTTTCTGTCTAGTGAGCCATCGAAAGCATTTGTCGGATTTTTGCCAGTTACCTACCCAGAACTTGAACATTATTTGCTGATACAGAGATATAACCCAGAAAGCAGCATTCAGCAGCGTTTAGGTTAGGGTAAAGAAGAAAAGAGTGTGCGGTAAGCTTCTGGAAGGGTCTAAGCACTAGACTAGAGCAGGACAGCAGAAATCAACACAGTCACAGAAAGAGAAGTTTAGGGGCCTCCAAACACACAAAGCACATCACTTCACATAGCTCCAGGTTACAAACCACATACAAACCACATACATATAATTTCACACCAAATCAATCAATTAATAGTTATTGTCCATCAAGACGATACTCTCTCCACAGCTCAATACTGTAGTCACATAACACTCCACGGCTGCCAAAGCATATGTCTTTGTTATCAGAGTGTATCAATTTGAGCCAGTGTGCTACAGCAGGATAATAATCCTGCAGCAACAGGAAATGTGAATTATTATGTGGATTATAATTATTGGACATTTTTGTAGGGGTTGATACATTTTTCGTAAGGGAAAATCAAGTCTGAAATGTCAAAGTGGAAATTACAAAGTTCAGAAGCCTTTTTAAACCTTAAATACACTACAAGTTTTAAATGTCCTGCATTACAGGAAAGTTCTCCTGCAACAGTGTGATCTAATTAAGATCCTATAACTGTATAGTCCCTTCACACTTTTAAACCAAGCACCTGTAAGCAGGGCCATTGGAAATTCTAACACATTTTCAACAAGCAAAATATGGGACTCACCCGCCTCATCTCAGACAGAGCAGCCATCTCAGAGCCCACAGGAGTCATATACCCAGACATACTCTGTGGATAGAGACAAGGGATGAAGAGCTACTACTGAACACAAGAATGAGTCCTAGCCATGAGACACATTGAGTGTCAATCCCAGACATGAATACAGGATTAGATCTTCCTAAACTGTCATTTGTCTCAAAGTGTATAAACATAAAGAAAGTTGTATGGGTAAACCTTTGTCTCAAAGTGGAAATACAAGTACTTTAAGCATGTCTCTGCACCAAAATAGAAAGTGTGTGTGTGTGTACATGTTTTCCTACAATATCAGGACCAGATTGTCCTGACAACGTAGGAAAACAATACTTTTATTGACAAGGACTTTTTCCATGTCCTGAATTTGTTCAAATGTTATTTTAGGCTTAATGGTTAGGTTTAGGGTTAAGGTTAGTGTTAGGAGTTAGGGTTAGGGTTTTTGGGGTTTTGATTAGTTTAGGGGTTAGGGAAAATAGGATTTTTAATGGAAATAAATGTTTACTCCCCAAAAAGTCCTGGAAATTCACATAAAAGCTCTGTGTGTGTGTTCTTGTGCATGTGTGTGGTCAGTGCATGCGTACATGGGAGGGAGTGGTACACACTGGCACAGGAGTGCCCCTCTCTGAAGGAGGGATCATGTCAGGGGTCAGGGCCTGAGGAGGGTCCATGCCTTTGCTGACTTTCTGCTGGATGAAGTGCATGGCCAGAGCAAACTGCTCCCGCGTCAGCTTCCCCATCTGCCTGGTGTCTGCCAGGGCCCTGGATACACAATAATAACAACATGAGTAATACATTCAACTTCAGTCAGGTAATCAGGTGGCATCAGTCATCAGTCATCGTCTCTCCTACCATATATGTGCCAGTAGGTTCTGCGGCAGCCCTGAGTGCATGAAGATGTCCTTGACTTCCATGCCGCTGACAAAGCCATCTAGATCCAAGTCTGTCTTCAGGAAGATGTCGTCATAGCGCCCTTTGTCTGTCACCGGGACTACCCAGTTCACTGAGTGCTGACATTCACGGGGAGAAAAATTACATAAATGTTATAACACAATACACACATTACACACCAAAAAGTTAGAGATTGCTTTGTTGCTAATCAAGATAGTTTGTTTAATGTACGTGTGTTTACCTGTGCAGATTTTAGTGAATGTTTGGGGGAGAGGCTGCCAGCGCTGTTGAGGGAGTTCATGCTACCGTGGGAAGGGGTGGAGCGCAGGCTGTCCTTGGGGGGCGGGGGACTGGCGGGCAACACAGGCACCATGCCAGGAAGGGAGCCCACCAATGACTTCTTTCTCTTGTTTGGAGGGATGAGAGAGGAGGGGAGAACAGAGGGGACCGGTTCCTTCTCCAGGGCCCGATAGACCAGGTGCATGGCCTGGAGAACAGAAGGAAAAGAAGAGGACTGAAGTTACACTTATTACTAGTAATGTTATTAGACAGTTATTATGTCTTACTATTATGTCAGTTACTATATCATACACAGGTCAATATGAGCTATGAAACATTTGTTTAGTCAGATCTATTCATTCCACAGTTTACTGGAGTAAACCTTACCACTGCAAATTCATCTCGATCCAGATGTCCATCTTTATCAATGTCACTGAGATCCCAAACCTTTCCTAACACGTCCAGAGGTAGTTTTGAGTTGATTAGAACTGGTTTTACTTTGTCACCAGAGAGGAGTCCACTGACTGGTGCAAGGCTTTCAAATATGCCATCGAATTTACCCTTTTCTTCAGGCTGGAATATGAAATGAACAAAAATAACAATAAGCGATTGATAAGAAAAGATAAACTTATTGTTGATGATTCTCTGAATTTTGTTCATTGTTTTGCACAATAAAATACAGTTTTTCTAATATACAAAAACCCATTTTAGTATGCTCTCATCAACCAAACACATGGTCCAGGGGCATTTCTACATGACTCACCCTCACAGCCCAGTGGGGTTCACTAGAGACCGATGATGTGCTGAGAGATGGGCTGCTAGTATCCTTCTGTACCAAAACAACCAAAAAACAACCTTAAACTTTAACACTTACTTCACAATGTCCCAACCAAACATATAAATAAAATAAAATGTTATTGGTCGCATACACATGTTTAGCAGATGTTATTGCGGGTGTAGCAAAATACTTGTGTTCCTAGCAGAAATTCCTTTGAAAAAATAAATGCATCATCAAACTACCATGAAACCTGTGTGTAGTTAGGATTGTACTAGTTAAGATTGTACTAGCTAGGATTGTACTAGTTAGGATTGTACTCACAAATTTTGGGGGAGGGATAGTGAGGTTCAAACTTGAGAGGCTGACGTCTTGTCCGCTCTGTGCACAGGCCACCAACCGCAGAGCTACATAGAACCCCTATAAGAGAAGATGGGACAACAGCATTGTTTATGGGTGTACAAATAGCAGCTCAATTCCCCTCAAGGGTCCCAGCATCAGGCATCGCACACATAGAGGAAATGATAACTTTTCTACCTGTTTGTCCAAGAACCCTTTCCCATCTGGGTCTGCCAAATCCCAGATCTGAGGGGAGACAAACACAAACAAGAGGATTAGGCCTAACTTAGAAAACATAAAGTAAAGCCTCAATGTGCAATAATCATTAGGGAATGTGTACAAAGTCAATAACAAGCAATCTGCATAAAAGTCCCAGTAACCCAGCTGAGATAGGCTACATAAATTTGGATCAAAGCAGAGGTAGTATGACAAACAGATCAAGGCAACAATACAAAAGCTGGGTACAAATGCGTAAAAACAAAATAGAGCTGAAACAAGTACACTCCCTAAAGGTTCTGATAAATAAAAGACATTGATCCAATCAGACCAGGCAATGACGTAAGATGTGGTCATCTTTTCCAGTAATATTCCTCTGGGGGTACTGAAGCATGCATGCATGTATGTAGATGGTCGTATTACTCCTCGATGACAGAGACACTCTAATCAACATGATTTCCTGCTGGTCATTGTCTGTTGCTTTCAGAGCAGTTCATCAGTCTAAAGTGTCAGGGACTGTTCCCTTGGGTATGCTGCTGCCCAAAGCTTTCAGTGGCCAGCAGCACTACACAGTACCCACCTTTCCCAAAGTGACATCAGGAAGGCCCGATTTCTTCAGGAACAATGCAGCTTCTGTGGGCCCTACTCTCCCTGTGTTTCCTGGGTCCACCTTGCAAAAACGACACAGCAAACCAAACTGTTACATTTTTCTTTCTACACACTATACTGTTAAATGTGTTTAGTGTTGTCTATTGCGGCCATTGAACAATAAAGAAGTGAATTCTCCTCAATCTATGTAGATATGACTAGCCTATGTAATAACCAAACTATAAAATGTGTTTTACCTGTCTATAAAAGTTCTCGTACACATGGTTCCCACTTGACAGCTGATTGGGGAAAGGTTTTTCAGATTAGTCATATCATTTCAAACAGCTGCTGGAAACCATTGTCTTACGTCAAATAGCGTGACACACCCCACAAAACCTACTACTGACATCTGGACTCCCCCTTTAAAAATCCACTTAAGGGTCTATCACAACCAAAAGCCAGAGAGGGATTTCCTGTCCCATGTCATCAAATATTAATGTCATCTAATAGGCTTTAAATCTTTTGAGTACCTTTTGAAGAGCTCTTTAAAGCATAATGTAACTTGTAAGATGGCAAAGGGGATTTCTTTTGCATGTTCCCCAAGAACACTAATAGCCTATCTTTGTCAGGGTTTAATTAGATAAAAAACTAGAAGCATAATGTAGCTAATGCGATTGAACCAAAACTGGTCCTCTGTGACTCCTGGTGCAAACTCTGAGACTGTGATTCCCAAAATTGTCTGAAACAACACATAGCTTGTGTTTTGATAAACTAGCTACAAGTTAGGACAATACATTGGGGCATCTTACTGAAGCAGAAAAACAGCCAATGTAGTAATCATAAGCACACAACCTGGTCAGTCATCATTCATCATCACATAACGACGTTATAGCATAGGCATTTGTGTCACTACGCACTAACGTTACACACCTATCCCCGTGTAGTACAGTGTTATATAGCTTCAATGGTATTACATTAACTATTCGTGTTAGTGTGTTATTACACTGATGCTGCAGTAGTCAGACCGTTTAACTAGCTAGTATTGTTTAGCACTAACGTTACAATACGTTGGTCTTTCCTGGTTGCATAACTCTTGCGCCTTTGTCAAGTATCAAAATGTAAATGTTTATTAAACATTTCTCGAATTATCTTTCATCTAACGAGCATTAGCTAGCTAGGTAACTTGTTCATTTTGCAAGCAAGCTAACGGTAGCTAGCCCACTAGCCAGCTGGCTAGGCTACGGTACTCTCTGTAAGCTTATCGTTAGTGATAAGGCCTTGTACCATCCAGCTAACGCGTTACTAGTAGCAAGCTAGCTAAACACCCTCGGCATTCGTCTTATTTCTTTCACATTTGATTAAAAGCACACCACTAAAAACTGCAGCTCATTCATCTGCATGCACAACAGCTCGACTGAATGTCCTCCGCATAATATTTAATTAATTCCTGTTACATTACCTGGGTGAGAGATGTGAGTGCAGCCATCTTCACTGTTGCTGCGGGAACGCACACAGTACACCCTCCAGCTCGTAGACAACACCACCTCCTAGTGGACACGCTTGTGACGTGCAATGCCCTTATGAATGACGTGATTTAATTGACACAACAGTCTCATTCAATTGTCATAATGGTTTTTTTTTTCACCTTTATTTAACCAGGTAAGCCAGTTGAGAACAAGTTCTCATTTACAACTGCGTATGTTTCCAGATACAATGCCTTGTGTAATCAATGAAACAATTTTAAAGCTTTGTAAAAGCTATTTATTTGACATAACGCTAATAACCTTAAATAAACCTTCAAGTGGTGCATTTAAGGCTAAAACCCTTTAAACTACCCTTTATTGTAGTTTCAAAGAAAACAAAACAAAAAAGTAAGATGCTGAAATCATTACTCCTGTGGTTCCACAGCATGCCATAGCTCAGCTAGAGCCTCTGTTATAAACTCATGCAATTAACCAACCCTACATCTCTCAGAGCAACAGTCTTCACAATAAAGTGCTTCATTTTGCCAAAGCAGAAATCAACTCCATGTACAGTATTATACAGAAACTCTGCTGGGTCAATCTTTCCCATCTACACACAAGAGAAAAATAAAAAGCCAAGGCCAGTTTTGTGGGTTGTTTACTCGTTTTTCCCCCGGCTTCTAGCACTTCTACCTTCACTCTAGCATCTTTTATGAGATGGGTGTTTGCTTATGATAGGCAACATAAATCCTATGGCACTCATCTATGCACATATTGACTAACGATAGACCTTTGAAAGCTGTACACGATTTTGCACAAACAAACAATTACTCTTCAACAAAATGAGACAAACCACAAGGCATGGAAGAGTAATTACATGGATAACAAACTTACAGCATGATTTCTTTTGATATAATACATTAAGGATCAGGGGCAATCAAAACACACAAAAAGGGGCAATCAAAACACACACAAAAGTGTCCAGAGAGAACAGCATCTTGTGTACGTATGTGCTTAAAGTGATTATAAAATAATATTAGGGACATGGCTCAATTGACTTTCAGCTTCAACTAGCCTTCAACTGTTGAGCAAGGATATCTAAAAAAATATATATATGTGGCTCAAACTTCCTTTTGTGCAGTCATTTAGTACCTTACAGTGGAACCAAATCCAGTATTACCTACCATGTCTCATTTTACAGTGTTATAACATTTAAATATGATAACACATCAATCACAGAACATACTTCTCTTTTACAAAGAAATGTTCACTTTGTAACGGTGAAATAAAGTGACAAAGCAACTCTTCAACATTAATATGACATTTCATTGGCAAAATATCCCAGTTCCCTTTGTCTGAAGATGAAACATATATTGGAAAGGTTGGACAGTAATGATCAGTTAAATTCTGAGAGAAATAAGCAGCTTCATGGAGACAAATGATAAAAACAACAGAGTGGCTGCGGATCCGACTTTTCTGGACCCCTCTTCCTGACAGCTAAAGGTCCCGAAGCTTCTGCGCATGTGCGGGATTCTCTACTTTATGCACAGTCTCTGCTCTACTAATAGAGAACAGGCTACTCGTTACTCTGGTGAATGGTGCTTGTTTAATAAAGTTAGATCAAAGCTGAATCAATGTCTGCAAGATCACATAATGACAGTATTCTACATAACAGAACCAAATATAATAGCATAGTATAACATTACTGTAAGACAAAAAACACCACCTTATTTCTTATGAGATTTTAGGATGATTGTGTAGTGGTCAGATTTTTCTGTCATGTGGCCAAAACACAAGTGTGCGCCACTAGGCATAATATTTGCTTTGATTGAAACTAAGCACCATCTGCTCTAAAATTCACTCAATGTACATAATTCAAAACAACACTGTAGGCTACTTCTAAACAACACTGTTTAAAAAGATCTAAATGCATATCCCCATGAAACTGATTGAGATCACATTGTTGGTATGCAGATGCTGCATGGACGTTTCACCTGTAAAATTTAAAGAATTATCATTCACGATTGACAGTGAGAAATGTGAAAGGGGTTCTCTATTAGTTGAGCAGAGACTGTGCGTAGAGTAGAGAATCCCACACATGCGCAGAAGCTTCGGGACCTTAGGTTGTCAGAAAGAAGGGCAGAGAAATGTCGGATCCGCAGCCTCGGCCTAAAAACAAACAACACATTTGAGTTCCATGGCCATTTTGCTGGTTTTGTCACTTTATCACAGGAAACTCAAGTATATTTTCGCAGGAGATGAGGCTCACATAACAAATATGTATCAACCAGCTAATGTATGTTTGGGGTTATATTTGTGAGGAGTTGAAAAGCAATATATGATGAGGGCAAGCTGCCACAGTAACTCTATAGATTGACACAGCACAAGCAGCAGTAATAGCAGCAGTGAGAGAGAGAGCCCACGGAGAGCTAACACTCAGAATGGAGAAGGCCTAGCTCACAGTAACAACACATCACGTCTTTGTCCAATGAAAAGCATCCTGGAAGACCAGTCACTTTGGGTAACCTTTTCCACTCCTTCCTTCAAAAGCATATTCTGTAGCACTATCACTCATTCTCTAGCCCTGCTTTCTTCCCCTTCATGCCAACGCAGCCACGTTCACTCGTCATCAAACGTTTGTTGGAGCAGAAAATTGGCAGCTAAATTCTCGTTCTTCTCACATGCGAAATACGCTTGAATGACAAGTCCCTCTGGAAATCCCAAGGCTTTTAACTGTAAAGAAAACACATTTGCAACTGTCAGCTCGGAAACACATAACCAATGACACAAAGGGAGCTTACCAATTGATAAGGTAATATTGAATTAGTTAAATTATAATTAGTAACCATAAATACTCCTACCCTCTCGATGGCCTCCTTCTCTTGTGGGGTGACCTGGATGTAGTTAGTCTGTGGCGCCCCCTGGGCCTCAGCTCCCTCCTCTACCATCTCTCCTCCTTGTGGCTCGTTCAGCATCTGCACAAACCGTTCCTGGTGCTGGGTAATTTGCTGCAAAGAAAGAACATCTCCCTATAAACCCTTACGAATACAAATAGAATTTCCTTTTTAGTAGGCTAAACCAAAACAGAATCTAAAGTGCAGAATATTCCCAGCCTCCCATCAGACCCGCTTGCGTCTGGAAAGCCAAGCTGAGAAGCATGGCTACGTGGATGGAGAAAGACAGCATGCAGACACTGGGATGTCCAGTCTCCCCACTAACCTGCAGCAGCTGGGGGTTGTCTCTGCCCAGCTGCTGGAGCAGGGCAGGAAGGAGAGCTGGGTTCTGCTGGATGATCTGTCTCATCTGCTGGAATTGTGGCTGGTTCCTCAGGAACTCCAGGGGGTTCCCAACCCCAGTACCTCCACCAGTAAGCCCACCAGTAAGCCCACCAGTTAGCCCACCAGAAAGCACACCAGTCAGCCCACCAGACGAGGGGAGCTGCTGGGTTGAAGACACTGCGTCTGCTGCAAAACAAGAATGTATGGACACAGAGTTCAAAGACGTCTATGAAACAGAGTAGTGAGCTGACAGCAGGGCTGACCTGCCCATTAGGAAGGATTAGGCGGCTGCCTAGGGCGACACATTGACGAGTGCTGCATTTTCCAAACTAAACTGACCAAGACGCACCTCCAACAACACATAACACCTCACATAATTCTGCCTAAAAACAATGAAAATGTATATACAGTGCCTTCAGAAAGTATTCATATTCCTTGACTTATTCAACAACAACAAAATGTGTTACATCCTGAATTCAAAATGGATTAAAAAAAATTCTCTCACCCATCTACAAACAATACCCCATAATAACAAAGTGAAAACATGTTTTTAGAAATGTATGCAAATGCATTGAAAATGAAATACAGAAATGTCTAACTTTACATAAGTATTCACACCCCTGAGTCAATACCTTGTAGAAGCACATTTGGCAGCAATTACAGCTGTGACTCTTTCTAGGTAAGTCTCTAAGCGCTTTCCACACCTGGATTGTGGAACATTTGGCCATTATTATTTTCAAAATTCTTCAAGCTCTGTCAAATTGGTTGTTGATCATTGCTAGACAACCATTTTCAGGTCTTACCATAGGTTTTCAAGTATATTTAAGTCAAAACTGTATCTAGACCACTCAGGAACATTCAATGACATATTGGTAAGCAACTCCAGTGTATATGGCCTTGTGTTTTAGGTTATTGTCCTGCTGAAAGGTGAATTCATATCCCAGTGTCTGGTGGAAAGCAGACTGAACCAGGTTTTCCTATAGGATTTTACCTGTGCTTAGCTCAATTCCATTACTTTTTTATCCTGAAAAACTCCATAGTCCTTAACGATTACAAACATACCCATAACATGATGCTGTCACCACTAGGCTCGGAAATATGGAGAGGGGTACTCAGTTATGTGTTGCATTGGATTTGCCCCAAACAAGACACGTATTCAGGACAAAAAGTTAATTGCTTTGCCACATTTTTTGCAGAATTACTTCAGTGCCTTGTTGCAAACAGGATGCATGTTTTGGAATATTTATCTTCTGTACAAGCTTCCTTCTTTTTACTCTGTCAATTAGGTTAGCATTGTGGAGTAACTACAATGTTTTCGATCCATCCTCAGTTTTCTCCTATCACAGCCATTAAACTCTGTAACTATGTTAAAGTCACCATTGGACTCATGGTGAAATCCCTGAGTGGTTTCCTTCCTCTACGGCAACTGAGTTAGGAAGGACGCCTGTATCTTTGTAGTGACTGGGTATATTGATACACCATCCAAAGTGTAATTAATAACTTCACCATGCTCAAAGGGATATTCAATGTCTGCTTTTTTATTTTTACCCATCTACCTATAGGTGCCCTTCTTTGCAAGGCATTGGAAAACCTCCCTGGTCTTTGTGGTTGAATCTGTGTTTGAAATGCACTGCTCGATTGAAGGACCTTACAGATAATGTGTGGGGTACAGAGATGAGGTAGTCATTCAAAAATCATGTTAAACACTATTATTGCACAAAGAGTCCATGCAACTTATTATGTGACTTGTTAAGCAAATTTTTACCCCTGAACTTATTTAGCTGTAAGTCTTTCTGGGTAAGTCTCTAAGAGCTGGATTGTACAATATACACCTGGATTGTACAATATTTTCACATTATTATTTTTATTATTTTAGCTTTCTTCAAGCTCTGTCAAGTTGGTTGTTGATCATTACTAGACAGCCATTTTCAAGTCTTGCCATAGATTTTCAAGCCAATTTAAGTCAAAACTGTATCTAGACCACTCAGGAACATTCAATGACATCTTGGTAAGCAACTCCAGTGTAAATGGCCTTGTGTTTTAGGTTATTGTCCTGCTGAAAGGTGAATTTGCCTCCCAGTGTCTGTTGGAAAGCCTGTGCTTAGCTCTATTCCGTTTATTTTTATCCTAAAAACCTCCCTAGTCCTTGCCGATGACAGGCATACCCATAACATGATGCAGCCCCCACCATGCTTGAAAATATGAAGTGTGGTACTCAGTGATGTGTTGTGTTTGCCCCAAACATAACGCGATGTATTCAGGACATTAAATTAATTTCTTTGCCACATGTTTTGCAGTTTTACTTTAGTGCCTTATTGCAAACAGGATGCATGTTTTGGAATATTTGTATTATGTACAGGCTTCTTTCTTTTCATGCTGTCATTTAGGTTAGTATTGTGGAGTAACTACAATGTTGTTGATCACTACAAAGATACAGGCGTCCTTCCTAACTCAGTTGCCGGAGAGGAAGGAAACCACTCAGGGATTTGAGGCCAATGGTGACTTTAAAACAGTTACATCTACCAATAGGTACCCTTCTTTGCGAGGAATTATATACAGAGTGAGTCCATGCAACTTATTATGTGACTTGTTAAGCACATTTTTACTCCTGAACTTATTTAGGCTTGCCATAACAAAGGGGTTGATTACTTGACTCAAGACATTTCAGCTTTTCATTTTTAATTAATTAGTAAAAATGTCTAAAAACACAATTCCACTTTGACATTATGTGGTATTGTGTGTAGGCCAGTGACACAAAATCTCAAATCCACCAACGCTCAAGTCATCTAACATAAATCATGTAGCCTATAGTAGAAAGAGTTTTTTCAAATCAAATAATAAAATTGTATTGGTCACATGCTTCATAGACAACAGGTGTAGACTAACAGTGAAATGCTTACTTGTAGCCTACAAACTGGAGACCATATTTATGAAAATGTTATGAGACAGACTTATTTTTTTTTACATCATGCACATCTCTGATCAAATAGTCTAAATGGCACCCTATCAATTAAAAATGTGCTTTGATTTGAATATTACTTTGCATGATAGCCCTTTCCTGCAGTCAATGACCAAAAGCACCCTCTTTGGCCTCATGGGTGGAATATTATTAATATGTTTCATAATTGTATAATTAATAAAGGTTTTTTTGTTACTACAAAAAATCTGGTGTTTCTATGTCAAACAGTTTTGTTATATTTCAGTCTTCTGTGATGTATATAACGTGTAATATTGGGATGCAAACTCAAAATGGAATACATTTCAACTCTATATCTGACATAGTACAGGTGTCCTTTTTTTAAGCCCATAACCATGTGTGTGAGGTGTATACTTTTGTTTCAAAGTCGATTTGTTTAAGACTACCAAGAAACACTGTGTGACCCTGATTTAGCCCACTGCAGTAAAAGGTTAACAAACACCATATCCTAAAAACAGGTCAGGTCAAAATAAAATGGACAATATGGAATAAAATTAAGCTACTCACGACTGCTGTCCGAGAGTTTCACTCCGTGGGCTAAATTGTAATGAATCAATAATTTCAATTGTAGGCCTATTCATCAATTTTTGACGAGCTGATCATAGCGAAGAAAATACTTCTGCATTTCTCGCTGTGTGAAAACACATTGATTCTGATTGCAAATAGGTGCAAAATAACTCCTGATAAACTTGGGTAGCTGATATGCAGATCTTAAATAGCCAAAATGATTAGTTTTAATTAAGCCTTGGTCAGGAATCAGGACTAGGCTAAATAAAGTAAATGTAACTGCCTGTTTTACAAACGGTACGACGTGGATGGGCATTCATAAAATTCCATTGCGGGCCGACACTGTAGGCTACACTATTCTAGTTTTCTGGGGAAAGGAGGGCATCCATTTTTTATATCGCCAAGGGCGGAAGAACGGCCAGGACCGGGCCTGGCTGGCAGTGTTTGTCCAGAGAAATGATTGGTTGGTATGAGAGCAACATAAGGCTGGTAAAAGAACAAGAGAAGAGTGGGGGGGGGGTCTCACTGGTGGCTGCTGGTGGGGGCTGGGCTATATCTGTGGCTGGAGCAGATGCTGGGGCAGGAGCTGGGGCAGGAGCTAGGGCAGTGGGGTTGACCGGAGCTGTGGGTTGAAGCGCTTCCGCTGGCGGAAGGTCAGCCTCGGACGGAATCCCCTGGAGGATGTAGAGAAGAATTTATGATCCCTCAGGAAAATGAAATAATAATAATGAAGTGCATTTATATTGCTCTTTTGCAAGTGATCAAAGCGCTTCTCATTGTAAAGGACACAGATGGATAAACACACAAACAACTGTGTACAGCTTTGGAACTGAAAATCCTTTTGTATTCTGTGTGCATACTGCTGTCAGATTGTCAGTAGAGTCTGGCACTGAGTCTTTGGATGGAAAAGAGTGTGATGGAACCTTGGAACTGGCTCCACTGCTTCTAGGTAATAATACACTAATTTACCATTAAATCACTGATAGGATGGAAATTCACCATTAGCAGGTACTCCACGGCTCTGTCTGGGTTGTTGTAACTGGCTCGCAGCGCTGCAATAACCTGCTCCCTTTCATATCCCATAGACATGATTTCAGACACCAGATTCTCATACGCTTGTCCTGTCACTGTCTCGCGAAGAGAGGGGAAAAGGATACAGGGTCATAAATCAATGGGAAGACGAAGCATGATATTGTGATGTGAAAGATTAGACTAGACTCTTCATTACCCAGTATTGATGCTGCTTCTTCCAAGAGACTTAAGTCATCAACAAGGCTGTGAGAGAAAAATAATTGATCAAAACAGACACATTTATTAACTAAAAACATGGTAGCCATCCAAATCTTGAAACAAAATATTGTATCATATGTCAATACCTAGAGGAGGAGAGGGCTGGTGTTGTGGCGAGGGGCTGTTCAGGGTGCTCCTCATAAGGCTTGTCCTCTGAGGGGGAGACAGGGACGGGGCATGCTGCTGCGGCTGGAGCTGAAGCTGCACTGGCCCCCAGCGCTGCAGGGGGAATAGAAGCAGGGTCTGGTGCAGGGGACGGGGGTGTGGAGGGCTCCACTGATTTGGTGGGGTTTGAGGCAGGGGCGGGTGTGGGTGTAGGGGAGAGGGTTGAGATCTCCATGGGGGCAGGAGAGGAAGTAGGACAGGCAATGTCTGATAGGGACAGCCCAGAAACAACAGGAGGTGCAAGGGCAGGAGCAGGGGTAGAGGCGGGGGCTGGGGTTGCCTGAGGAGAAATCTGTGGAGGAGCTGGAGGTTTGGGCTGTAGGGAGACAACAAATAGGACTGCCCAGAGATGACCACAGTGACTACAGACAACTATCTCATCTTTAGATATCAATGAATAAGATATTTCTAAAAATACAAATGATAAACTTCTGCTTCCACTGTCATTAATGCTGTAATGACAGTATTATTAGCACTTTAATGTCTGTCTTGTTTGTCCTTTATTAAGGTTTACTATAAATTAATCAATACCATATTATCCTCACATATGAATGGTTACCAAATAATCCATTAAAATAGTGTTGAAATCTTACCTTTGTAACCATGACCACCACAAAGTTTTTCTCATCAATTTTGTAGTCTTTTAGAGGTATGTCATCATTCAAGATTTTGCCTTTAAAAACACAACAAGAAGAACCTGTTCAATTAAATATATAGGCTACAACATTCCAGATGTGTCGGGTTGACATTCAAGATTACTCCAACAATGCAGTTAAAGATAAACTGCCTCGCTTACCTGCATAAATGAGCTTCTGCCCTGCGGCTGGATAGCCAACCTTCCCTTTCTCAACCTCAATCTTCTCCTTCAGGGCTTTTACCTGCCAATAACATAATGACATAATGACAAGCTTTTAAACAGGACTAGAGATAGAACCCATTTAGTTGTATCTCTATAGGCGGGACATTCTTCAGATTAGTTCTCTGTGGAGATCACCTCTCCTCAACCTAACATGGTGACACATTATATGTCTCATCTCAGTCATAAAGCAGAATCCTTGAGGATTGTGGGAGTTGTAGTGAAAAGCTGTAATTCACATTCCGTCATTACTTCACCTTGTTGTGAGTGCTTCGAGGAAGTATACAGATACATTTATAGACAGATGCATTTCAATGGATCTACATTCCCTTATGTGATACACCATAAATTTATTTTTAAAGTTGACACGCACTACACAAGTTAATGATACAGTAATAAACGTTCCCGTTTTAAAACAGAGATGTAAAGTTGCTCACCAGACAGTGTTATTGCCAGCAATGTAATCTATCTGTCAGTCAATCAGCAATATAGTCCTAGAGAAAGAGTTTGTAACACAGATGCCAAAGCTTGTGCACAGCCATACTTAGGGCCATTAGTGGGCACTTTCAGTACTACTATTTACATCTAAAGGTTACGCTAAAGCAGCGTTGCTCAAGCCTGGTCCCGTGGACCCACAGGGTATGCAGACTTTTGATCAAGACCAGTGCTACTGCTAACACACCCGATTAAACAAATCAGTGTCTTGCTAATCAGGTGTATGTAGCTAAACCATTTTACCAGGTGTGTTGACTGGGAAAGTATTCTCATTGACAGCAGTACTATAGTACAAACCAACTCTAAAGGTAGAACCCTAGCGGTTACTGCTATGTGAGGTATTCTGGTAGTTGCATTCTAAAGGGGAAACATTACCTGTAAATTAAGGCAGGTATATAGAGCAGATGAATATGCAAAGCAGACAATGTGTTGACATTAGAAAAGTATTGAAAACAGCAATCAGTCATAATATTGTATAAGAATCATTTATTAAATCAATTGTAATAATCGATAGCCCACTAATTGGGTATGGCGTTATTTCTATAGAGAAAATGAATAGTTGTAATGTAGATGATCTCAAATGCATATTTGTATTCATTATTACTATCATTATGATTATTATAATTATAATATTATTAGTCTACTCATTTTCATTTACAGTTATTGGTAGGGGTTTGTAATTTTACAGCCTCTTTTATACAAAACACAAATTCGATGTAGGCCTAAAGTGCATTAACAAATACACACTTTTGTCATAACAAATGTACAGAACGCCCCCCTCCACCCGATTCCTATAGTCCAGAAAAAGGGGTACACGAGAGCGCCTCCTTGGTATCTAGACCGGGCTCGTGAAATATTGCGTCGTCATTCATGAGGATACAGCCAGGCAATCTCTCAAACGCAACGAAAATCGCGATTTGACACAAACACCCAACTGTTACAATGTGACATGAACAATGAAAACATGATATAAAATAGCACCCCCCTCTCCTGATTAGATCGCATTGACCAAGGCCCTGGTTGCTCCCAGCCCCTCTCCCCCGGCCTCAAGCGTATTTACCAGAGTCACTAACTTCCCCTACTCACCGTTAGTTCTGGATCTATTTCGATTTTAAACGTTTGCTGCTGAAGAGTCTTCAACGTTATGGACAACATCTTCAAGACGATTCCCGATAATTGCCAGGCGCTTCTATAGCCGTGTTCACACCCGTTTCTGTATTGTTGCTTTTTCCACAGTAGCCTACCTAGTTATGTGACTCAGCTATCTTGCTGTATTGGTTGTGTTGTAGTGTAGTCAGACGCCATCTACTTGTGGCCTGAGACAAGACGTACTGCTAGGGGCTGTACCTCGTGAATCTAAATTCCACCCATCCATGGCATGTGCATGTGATGGTTTACCCAATATCAAATGCTGTTCTAGTCCCACCTCTTAAAACAAAATGACGTAGTAAATTATTTTGGGGGGTTTCAAAGAGCATTTAAAACATGACTGACAGAAATGTTCATTCATAAAATTATCAGTCAAGGAATTGTAAATGTATTAGAATGGAAACAAATTCAGTGTTTTGTTAGTTTTTTTTTAAATGTTGAATACTGTCAAATGTGCATGCATTTAAGTATCTGTGTATGGATTGTCCCAGAATACAGTTTCGGCGAAAAGGCCCAACCTCCCGAGTGTCCTCAGGACAGGGAGTTGGGAAAACACACGGTCAAGCATGGACGGTCTTATAAAACACACTCTAGCATGGTCAAGAGTATCTACTCATTGAAAGGTTTTGCAACTGTGTCAACTCTATCTTCCTTAGTAGTATCTCAGACTTCAGGTAAATGTCCAGCTCAGCATCACAAGACACGTTTAGAGGTATCCACTTTGATACGGTTTGACAGTGTGTCTACAATGTCTTCAACCGCATACTAAAAATGCTAAGACCAACCAATTCCATATCACAAAATCAGTAGCAATCTAACTTTTCTAGAAATACTTACAGTATTATTGAAAGAAAAAGCATCATTTATTCACTGAAACTCAAAGACAGTGTGCCATGGGGACAGTCGCATGTTTTGAGCAACATAAAAAAAAGACTGAGTCAAAGTTTAGATCCTTTAGTCTCATACGGTCATCTCTGCAGCTGCCTTACACCTAAAGCAAAGTCTGTATGGGCAACATACACAACACAGATCATGGGTGGCCATACAGAGGATGATTGTGGGAATAAATTAAAAGGATGATAATAATGTACAGTACTGCATACAACTGTATACAAATAAAACATTTAGGAAAAAAAAGTACAAAAGAAACTACAACTGATATGCCCCTGATTTGTTTCCCAAAATAGACAACATCTGGTAAGATTGATGACAAGGATGGGGAAATAATCATTTTTCTTTTACACTGAAGGGATGAACTGATGATAAAAATCAAGGGAGCCGGTGGCCAGTAGCTCCTAGAGCAACTGTAGGACACATGGACAAGACAGACCACGTTCTGAACAAAGGGGGAAACCATCTTAAATTAAACATTCTGACGAAAACTAAAAACAAACCCAGTTCTTCAACCCTAAACTCCTTTTAAAAAAGTGAACCTCTAAAAAAGGCTAACATTGCCTGCCCCTTTACCATCCCTACACCTGAAAAATTGGTTTCCACAGGAGTGCCAAGTCCATAGGGTATTACTCAATGTGATGATGCACAGCAGTCACTCCATTGGCGAGGAGATAGAGGACGTGTCTGTCCTGCCCTATCCGGGTTTCATTTACAACTCATCCTTGTCCTTGGGATCTTTCACTTCCTCCTCTTCCGTTGGGCTGTCTTCTTCCTCCTCCTCCTCCTCCTCTGGCTCATCCTCCTCTTCATCTTCATCCCCCTCATCATCAGCAGTGTCCTTCTTGCTCTTCTCCTCCTCTTCTCTCGCTTTCCTCTCATCCTCCTCCTGTGCATCCTTCATTTTCTTTTCTGGTTCCTGTTTTGCAAAGAAGGAAAATGGGTCATTGAGAGAGAGTGCTGTGGGACTGGAGTATTTTTGAAAATGAATATCAAACTGAACTCATACTAACTTATGCAAAATATAAACTTATGAAAATAACAAAATCCTACCTTTGTAGCTCCCCATGTCTCGTTTCCAAACTCCTCAGCCTCTTTTATATCATCACCGATCAGGAAGTTGTCAAAGATGGTGCCAGACTTCACCTATAAAAGAGACAGAAACAACAATCATCAAGCCCATAATTACCCTTCACCAACAAAATTCACATTAATTGTCTGGGGTCTAACATACCTGCCACAGGTCCAGACCCAGCACTCCAATGTTGTCAAACTTGTAGATGGAGGCATCGGCTGTGTACTCAGGGTTATCGATCTCAGGGTGCACCCAGGCACCTTTGTAGTCAGGGTTGTCAATCTGCTTTGCCTTCCACTCTCCCTGGAAAGACAAGGCCAGATATAAGACGACCTGTGGTGCACTAGCTGTATAATGCAGATCTAAATAATGGAAGGATAACACTATGATAACTTTTATTAAAAATCATTAATTAACTATTTATAAGTATTGTATATGCTATGCATACATGAGTATTCTAAAAGGTATTAACATAAAAAGCTTTATAAGAATTTATATAATTTATAAGCATTTATAACTTATTCATTAAAGTTTCAAAGTGTTATCAGCAACTGGTTCAAACTCAGTCTGTACCTGATACTCTGGGTTGGGGATCATAGGAGGCTCCCACTCGCCATCCATGTCCACATCCCAGTCATCAGGGATCTTAGCATCAGGGTCAGGGATGTTCTCAGGCTTCTCCCAGTCCTAGTGAGAAAGTTCAAGATTAGTTACAACTTGGTCAGCGACAGAACTAAACAAAGTGCTTTGGACAAAAGAGAGAAAGAGATCGATCCTGAAACTAAACCAGGACCAAATAAAGCGAATGCTCATTGGCCTTAATAGTCCATTTACTGTTAAATGCAGAATGAAATTTGATACCTATCGACTGTGCCGATTCCATTTTGTGGCCATTATGTAAGAGTAACTAGCCTTGGGGCAACTTTGGGATCATCTGTCCATTTTACAAAGTGGATTGATGGAACTGTGTTTTCTGACTAGATGCACTGGGCCGAATAGGGAAACAGTACTGCATGGACACCAATGAAAAACAAGTATCCGCCTCTTCATCACTGTCATTCCCAGTAACAGTACCTCTTCTTACAGTGAGGGAAAAAGGTATTTGATCCCCTGCTGATTTTGTACGTTTGCCCACTGACAAAGAAATGATCAGTCTATAATTTTAATGGTAGGTTTATTTGAACAGTGAGAGACAGAATAACAACAAATAAATCCAGAAAAACACATGTCAAAAATGTTATACATTGATTTGCATTTTAATGAGGGAAATAAATATTTGACCCCCTCTCAAATCAGAAAGATTTCTGGCTCCCAGGTGTCTTTTATACAGGTAACGAGCTGAGATTAGGAGCACACTCTTAAAGGGAGTGCTCCTAATCTCAGTTTGTTACCTGTATAAAAGACACCTGTCCACAGAAGCAATCAATCAGATTCCATACTCTCCACCATGGCCAAGACCAAAGAGCTCTCCAAGGATGTCAGGGACAAGATTGTAGACCTACACAAGGCTGGAATGTGCTACAAGACCATCGCCAAGCAGCTTGGTGAGAAGGTGACAACAGTTGGTGCGATTATTCGCAAATCAAAGAAACACAAAACACCTGTCAATCTCCCTTGGCCTGGGGCTCCATGCAAGCAAGATCTCACCTCGTGGAGTTGCAATGATCATGAGAACGGTGAGGAATCAGCCCAGCACTACACGGGAGGATCTTGTCAATGATCTCAAGGCAGCTGGGACCATAGTCACCAAGAAAACAATTGGTAACACACTACGCCGTGAAGGACTGAAATCCTGCAGTGCCCGCAAGGTCCCCCTGCTCAAGAAAGCACATATACAGGCCCATCTGAAGTTTGCCAATGAACATCTGAATGATTCAAAGGAGAACTGGGAGAAGTGTTGTGGTCAGATGAGACCAAAATCGAGCTCTTTGGCATCAACTCAACTCGCCGTGTTTGGAGGAGGAGGAATGCTGCCTATGACCCCAAGAACACCATCCCCACCGTCAAACATGGAGGTGGAAACATGCTTTGGGGGTGTTTTTCTGCTAAGGGGACAGGACAACTTCACTGCATCAAAGGAACGATGGACGGGGCCATGTACCGTCAAATGTTGGGTGAGAACCTCCTTCCCTCAGCCAGGGCATTGAAATGGGTCGTGGATGGGTATTCCAGCATGACAATGACCCAAAACACACGGCCAATACAACAAAGGAGTGGCTCAAGAAGAAGCACATTAAGGTCCTGGAGTGGCCTAGCCAGTCTCCAGACCTTAATCTCATAGAAAATCTGTGGAGGGAGCTGAAGGTTCGAGTTGCCAAACGTCAGCCTCGAAACCTTAATGACTTGGAGAAGATCTGCAAAGAGGAGTGGGACAAAATCCCTCCTGAGATGTGTGCAAACCTGGTGGCCAACTACAAGAAACGTCTGACCTCTGATTGCCAACAAGGGTTTTGCCACCAAGTACTAAGTCATGTTTTGCAGAGGGGTCAAATACTTATTTCCCTCATTAAAATGCAAATCAATTTATAACATTTTTGACATGTTTTTTTTTGTTGTTATTCTGTCTCTCACTGTTTAAATAAACCTACCATTAAAATTATAGACTGATCATGTCTGTCGTCAGTGGGCAAACGTACAAAATCAGCAGGGGATCAAATACTTTTTCCCCTCACTGTATATGTTACTGTGGACCTTGCATAACATTTCTCAAACCTGATTCTGATTTGGCCAATATCCATGCTGGTTTACGTTCGATCAAATCTCTTAATTCAAAGAGGCTCACCTCTGGCTTGGTGTCGGTAGGATCGTCGATTTTGGGCCTGTCGTCCCAGTCCTCTGGCTTCTTGGCCTCGGGGTCCTTGATGGTCTTTGGGGGTAAAATGTCCCAGTCCTCCTCCAGAGTGCCTGACTCCACCTTCTCATTGTTGATCTTCACCTCGTATGTCTGGTCCGGGTTCAGGATCAGAGTGTACAGGTGTGTCAGCTCATCATCCTGAAAAGACAAAGGGGAGAACAGCAGAGGTTAGAGGTAAGGACAAGGCCTGACAGGTAATATGCAGTAAAGGAATGCAATGCTGAGGGATTTAAAAATGGTGTACCTTGCATTTGATTTCTTTCTTGATGAGGTGGTTCTTGCCTTTGTAGTTGAAGATGACATGAACCTTCTTGGTGCTGTAGCCACAGATGTCAGGCCCTGTGGGATGGATGGGTAGAGAACTTAATCTATTGATTGCCAGGTCAATAAAATACAGAATCTACCTGTAAAATCCAGGCATTTCTAAAAATGTCTTACTGAATGAATGTCTCTGCTAAATGACTTAAATGTAAATGACAGAGGGTCACTAAAATAACAGAGAAGGATTCATCTCTGACTAAAAGTCACTCCTCAGTCAGAAAAACTAGTGGTGCTCTGCACCCACTCACCAAACATGATGTAATACTGTGAGTCCCCGTGCATAGCTGCCTGGTCTAGGTCTGCTGGGAAGATTTTGACATATCCGCCCCCACAGTCAATCTTCTGCTCGTGTTTGACAGTGAACTGGACCACCAGGGAATTGCCCTTGTTGCTGAAGGGTTCAAAGCGGCTGGAGAGAGCATAGAAATGAGCATCCTGGCTGGTCTGGAGACCTGTGAGACCGGTAAGAAGATACATTAGCATCAGTAGGTTTAATTGAACCCAGGTATAGGAGGTGAGAGATGCATAGTGATACTGTACTGCATGTCATGTGGATTACATTTTGATTAGGGTTGGAGACTAGAGAATACTTTACATTTGCATTTAGAACAATCCACAATCTAAGGGGCCATTTGCAACCATTTGGCATATGCAAACTCAGACTTAGTGAAGGATCTGGCAAAACCTCCATATTGAAACATCTTGCCGTGATCAAACTACAATATATTCCCATTCAGCTCACCTTTATCGGCCTCAGCGTCGCCATAAAACTTCCCAGCAGTCAGTTTCCACTCGCCATAGTCTGACTTGTGCTTTGATACAAGCCACCGGCTCTTCCATGCATCTGAAAACAACATTTATCATCTGATTAGTCAGGATCTAGGAGAGATCACATGATTGAATAAATACTGCAGGCTGTCAAACAAACCAAAAGTGAAAGAACTTCTTATGATCAGATAGCGCACTGCTGAATCATATAATACTTTGCGAAAAAATTACAATAATTGATTTCCCTTTCCCTTTGATACCATTACAAAATGTATTTTTCTAAATGAAAAAGTGTGTGTCTTCTACAAAAAAAAAAATTGTGATCAGTGTAAAAAGGCTGACCATATTGATATTTTATGATATCCATTCACTTTAATGATGCACATCTTTAAAATGTACCTGTCGAACAGGGTGGAACAGAAAAGTTTTGTTTTAACAATAGAAATTACATAATGGAGTCTATAGTCTAGATCAGGGCTGCCCAACCACCTTCCCGGAGATCTACTGTCCTGTAGGTTTTCAGTCCAACCCTAATTTAGCATAGCTGATTCAGCTAGTTAAGGTCTTGTTGAGCAGTTAATACATAGAATCAGGTGTGTTAAATTAGGGTTCGACTGAAAACCCACAGGACGGTAGATCTCCAGGAAGAGGGTTGGGCAGCCCTGGTCTAGATAGTGACTATTCCACACATAAAGAACATAAATGGTTGATTAAAATACCAAATGGTCCAAGAATCGAGGTACGGTATGGGCCCTTGATTCCCAAACCATAATCTATCACATAAAAACGTTTTAGGAATGATCAGAAAAACAAAAGGCACATTTACCTCCATCCTGAAATTGTTCCTTGAAGTATACAGTAGCGTCAATGGTGACAGCTACCGATGCAAAAACTGCTAATATTGCTACTGCGACCCTCATGCTTTCACCGTCCCACTGTCCAGGTAAACTGTGCGTGTAGCTTTTTACTGAAACCCGGTTATAAACGCTGAAGGAAACAGGTAATATGATAATTTCTAACTCCTTATTCTTGCACAGATGGCCGTGGCTCATTGGACGAGATCCTGTCCAATGAAATGAGACCACGAGTTATTTTTCGGAAGTGCTAGGATTACACATCCGCTCGAGGTCGAAATAGTCCGTAACCCCAGGTCTAGTGGCAGATTGCCCAGTCCCAAAACAACATTTACATTTGAGTCATTTAGCAGACGCTCTTATCCAGAGCGATTTACAGTTAGCTATAACGTCTAACCGCTGACCCTGGACCAGCGGTTAGAGGCAAATTCAACAACTCCTCAACATCGACGAGCGGGACATATTTGAAATAATTTATCTGAATTTGCGAGGAGCAATGATAGTGGACAGAAAATGTTGTTTATGTTGTGGATATTTGTACAATTGTGGATAAACATTCATTTATTTTGAGAACCAAGTGGGATTATTCAATGTGCATTATCTCCAATTGCTTCCTAAAAGCCTAATAAAATAAGACATTCCAAACCGCAATAAAGCAAATTGAACGTCATACACCCTTGCTCAAGGTTGACACACACACCACGAAATCATGTAACCCAATAAAGACTTTCTTGGTCACTAACCATAATGACTCCATAGGGAGAATCTCAATTGCATACCCCTCGAGTCAGAGGTCCCGCCCCTCTGACCTTCTCCTCCAATGGGTTTTGAGAAGGAGGCGAGGAGAGAGGATGCACTCTAGCTGCCTTTTCTCAAGGATGACGTTTTCCATGCAGGTTTCCGTAGAATGTGTCGACGCGTTTAAATGATGTCATGTGAATAAACAGATTATTCATTATTTTGACCAGATACTCTAGTGGCCGCTCTAACAATGAAAATAAATGTATTCAAAAATGGAAGGCAGTCGGGAAGGCAAGATTTGGTGGGACCATTCTAGCCAAGGAGAGGGCAGATACGCGTGTGAACGACAGGCACAACAGTTTCCACTAGTTACCACAGCCACAACGTCCAAATTGGCTAGACCAAGCGTTAACATTTCCTGAAAACAAAATTGTGCTTTTGGGTTTTAATTTAAGGTTATGCATAAGTTCAGCAGTGTGGTTAGGTTTAAAAGCACATTTTAAGAATATAATTTATAGAAATAGGCGGGTTTATGACTTTGTGGCGGTGGTAACTAGTGACGACCAGGCACACCTCCGATATAAAGTATTTTTTCTCAAAGTTGCCGGGATGTCATGTGTCCTACTTATATCAGTACACTCGTAACAAACTAATAATTACGAAACTTCTATTCGATCAAATGAGCCACACTTAGCAAATAATACATTACATTTTGTATTAACCAAATTCGACACTCATTGACCTCGCTTGGTGAGCAGTGTTGCCAACTCCTCATTAAGGAAAGTAGCTATTGGCTGTCTTAAAAGTCGCTAGATGACGTAATCACCCAATTTGCATAATTTGCCATGTGCATGTAATTGTGATGGAGGCTGTAGGAGAGAGGAATAACGTGGGAGAGACAAAAAGTGAGTAAAAAACACCCTACATTTACATCCCGCCCTGAATGTAAGCCAGGGCGGGATCAGCCAGCTGCGGCTTCCCACATGCGCGATTAATTTGCAGTCTGGACGCAGAGGGGTGAACATCTCCTGCTCTGACTGCAGCGTGAGGACTGGGCTGCCTGTGAGTGCTTTGGGACTGGGGTCACGGGGGTGGGGCCCACGGGGGTGGGGCCCATGGCAGCACCTGCTGCTCGTTGAGAAGAGTAAGAACGATACGTGCTTTTACGTCAGAGTCTCCAAAAGTCTCCAATAACACCAGAAAAAGTCGCTAGATATTACCTCAATTACCTCGACTAACCTGTTCCCCCGCACATTGACTCGGTACCGGTACCCCCTGTATATAGCGTCGTTATTGTTATTTGATTGTTACTTTTGTATTTTTTTTTACTTTAGTTTATTTAGTAAATATTTTCTTAACTCTTATTTTTCTTAAAACTGCTTTGTTGGCGAAGGGCTTGTAAGTAAACATTTCACGGTAAGGTCTACACCTGTTGTATTCGGCGCATGTGACAAATACACATTTATTTGATTTGATTTGATTCAAAAGATGACCCAGAGCGATATGTTGTCCTTTTGGCCACCAAAAACACAGATATCCAGTAAGTCCACCACTTAATACACCCAATGCTTGTTAATTTAGCTACCTACCCCAAAATCCAAGAATGGTAGCCAGAAAGTATTCACAGAATGTTTGACATTCTTGTTGTTGTTGTCTCCCCAGGGATATGTGGATGTCATTGCCAATAGGAGAAACACTTCACAAGCCAGACAAACCCCATTCCAGGACCTGAGCGACCTATTGTTATCCTTAGAGGACTCAGTGAGTGAACAACCCAATGACGTCATCAACAAAAAGCTGGGGAGGTATGACCCACCACCAGAGAGCTTTGGAGGGGGTGGAGGGTGCAGGTTCTTCAAGAAAGCCCCTCCACCTGCTGCAGCTACCAGCCAACCTCCAGCCCTGAGCAGGACTCAGACACAGCCAGTTGAGCCCACATCCCAGAGGAGCTCACACAGCGCGGCCCTGAGCCGACTGGCTGTCATAGAGAACTTCATCCGAAATCGGCAACAGGCCAGGGATGGACCAGAGATGTCTGCTGATAGGAGTATACCAACAGCCCCCCAGGAGAGGGAGAAGCCCCTGCCTGCCCAGTCTAGCAGTGACCTCAGCATGAAGGGGAAACACTTCCTGAAGAAGACAGTGACTGCATCACCTACACATGCTGTAGCACCTAAAGAGAAAGGCTTGGATCTTGATGCCACGCGATAGGGTCACGCTTGGAATGTCTGAGAAAACAAAATCAAAGGTGGATGATAATGACAGCCAGTGGTACTGGAGGTTATTTTTGGATAATGTTTATACTTTACATTGTTGATAGGGTAGAACATTATTTTTTATTTGTTTGTTTCGTTTTGCAGAAAAACGCAAAGCGGTCAGGCACAAGGACCTAGATAATTTATCGAGGAAGCTTCTAGTGAGGAGCGGATCCCATCAGAGGAGCCCAGGGAGGACTACAAGAGTGACTTTGAGAGTGAGATCAGGACTGAGACAGACAGGAGTAGTGTCAGCGAGGTTTTCGAGCACCTGGGAGACAGAGACTGGGACAAAGACGAGTCAGAGGTCAGTGAGGTCATGGACTACAGTGTCTCAGACACATCTTGGAGGGACAAGTACTCCAATGTCTTGGAGAAGGACAGTCAGTCCCACATCACCCACAGACTACAGTAGAAACGCTGATTCATTCAGTGGCAAGAGTAGCAGGGCTTTCTATTCCAGATCATCTCGCTCCCACTCTGTGGCTGACACTCTCATGCCATCTCAAGTTTCGGAGAGAGGCCGCGGTGCAGACCCAACCAGACGGACTGGCCTTCACCTGGTCCGCCGGTTTGTCCAGTAATTAAATACAGTAACATTTGCAACAACGAAAAACAATTGCATTTTAGTCAGTGTAATGTCAAAATGGCTACCCATCTGTCATTCCCCTGTCTGTCTGTGTAGGTATGGCAGCCCTCATTTAAAAAAAGAACAAAAGCATATAATAAAATGCCTCAGTTGAGCCTTAATCTTCTAAAATAGTTGTAGGATTTTCTTCTACAACACAAGCATGCTACAGTAGTTGATGCACTGTGTTTCACCCAGTGATTTATATATACACTAGATGACTAACAGGGGGCGCTGTTTTGAAGCCACTGTGCGTCCGTCTTGGCACACCATCTAAACTCAGCAAAAAAAGAAACGTCCTCTCACTGTCAACTGCGTTTATTTTCAGCAAACTTAACATGTGTAAATATTTGTATGAACATAACAAGATTCAACAACTGAGACATAAACTGAACAAGTTCCACAGACATGTGACTAACAGAAATTTAATAATGTGTCCCTGAACAGTAACAGTCAGTATCTGGTGTGGCCACCAGCTGCATTAAGTACTGCAGTGCATCTCCTCCTCATGGACTGCACCAGATTTGCCAGTTCTTGCTGTGAGATGTTACCCCACTCTTCAACCAAAGCACCTGCAAGTTCCCAGACATTTCTGGGGGGAATGGCCCTAGCCCTCACCCTCCGATCCAACAGGTCCCAGACGTGCTGAATGGATCCGGGCTCTTTGCTGGCCATGGCAGAACACTGACATTCCTGTCTTGCAGGAAATCACGCACAGAACGAGCAGTATGGCATTGTCATGCTGGAGGGTCATGTCAGGATGAGCCTGCAGGAAGGGTACCACATGAGGGAAGTGGATGTCTTTCCTGTAACGCACAGCGTTGAGATTGCCTGCAATGACAACAAGCTCAGTCCGATGATGCTGTGACACACCGCCCCAGACCATGACGGACCCTCCACCTCCAAATCGATCCCGCTCCAGAGTACAGGCCTCGGTGTAACGCTCATTCCTTCGACGATAAACGCGAATCCGACCATCACCCCTGGTGAGACAAAACCACGACTCGTCGGTGAAGAGCACATTTTGCCAGTCCTGTCTGGTCCAGCGACGGTGGGTTTGTGCTCATAGGCGACGTTGTTGCCGGTGATGTCTGGTGAGGACCTGCCTTACAACAGGCCTACAAGCCCTCAGTCCAGCCTCTCTCAGTCTATTGTGGACAGTCTGAGCACTGATGGAGGGATTGTGCGTTCCTGGTGTAACTCGGGCAGTTGTTGTTGCTATCCTGTACCTGTCCCGCAGGTATGATGTTCGGATGTACCGATCCTGTGCAGGTCTTGTTCCATGTGGTCTGCCACTGCGAGGACGATCAGCTGTCCGTCCTGCCTCCCTGTAGCGCTGTCTTAGGCGTCTCACAGTACGGACATTGCAATTTATTGCCCTGGCCACATCTGCAGTCCTCATGCCTCCTTGCAGCATGCCTAAGGCACGTTCACGCAGATGAGCAGGGACCCTGGGCATATTTCTTTTGGTGTTTTTCAGAGTCAGTAGAAAGGCCTCTTTAGTGTCCTAAGTTTTCATAACTGTGACCTTAATTGCCTACCGTCTGTAAGCTGTTAGTGTCTTAACGACCGTTCCACAGGTGCATGTTCATTAATTGTTTATGGTTCATTGAACAAGCATGGGAAACAGTGTTTAAACCCTTTACAATAAAGATCTGTGAAGTTATTTGAAAGTTATTTTCTTTTTTTGCTGAGTTTATTAATGTCTACATTTGTTTTTGCCGCATTTACTCTATTACAGACACCTCAATGCATACGTTTAAGTTATATTATGTGAGCTAAACAAATAGATAAAACCATTTTCCAAAAAATACTTAATTATATGTAATTTTGTCCTTTAAACATTTAATTGAAATACTATAGAATTCCATTCATTCCTATGGAGGACTTCAGTTGCTTCAAAGCCTCTCATTGGCCAATACATAGCATCACAATCCAGCATTTATATATACTGAACAAAAATATAAATGCAACATGTAAAGTGTTGGTCCATGAGGTTTCATGAGCTGTAAAAAAAAAAAATGCCAGAAGTGTCCCATACGCACAAAAAGCTTATTTCTCTCAAATTTTGGCCACAAATTTGTTTACATCCCTGTTAGTGAGCATTTCTCCTTTGCCAAGACAGTCCAACCACCTGACAGATGTGGCATATCAATAAGACGATTAAACAGCATGATCATTACACAGGTGCACCTTGTGCTGGGGAGAATAAAAGACCATTCTAAAATGTGCAGATGTCTCAAGCTTTGAGGGAGCGTGCAATTGGCATGCTGACTGCTGGAATGTCCACCAGAGAATGTTATGTTAATTTCTCTACCATAAACTGCCTCCAATGTCATTTTTTAGAATTTGGCAGAATGTCCAACCGGCCTCACAACTGCAGACCACGTGTAACCACACCAGCTCAGGACCTCAATATCTGGCTTCTTCACCTGCAGGGATCGTCTAAATCTTTGAAATTGTTGCATGTTGCGTTTACATTTTTGTTCAGTATACATCATTGGTTTCATGACCTCATTGTCACCATTGTTTAAAACATAATCTCTTATCTAAATAGGAATGGATCAGCTCTTCATCCTACTGACCACACCTCTATTGTGTCTCTCCTCCCCAGCCCTCAGTGCATACAGCCCTGTTGTGTTTGCGCTCAACAACATGCTGAGGCAGCAGCTGGCTCTCACCAGACACTTTGTCCAGACCAGCCGCCACCTCCACTCCTCCCTGCTGCAGGCTACACATACACCACCCTGGAGGACACCAAGGAGGTAGGCTACTCTAATGCCCAATCGTAAATTATTCGCTACAAACTCGTGTAGTACTGAAGGTGTATAATTGATGGTCAACCATTGTCAAATATTTGCCGTGGACCCAATTGTGTTCACGCTTCTAACTCTGTGCATTTGTAGTCATCATGATCCAAGACAAAAACAGACATTTTCAGATTTTTTCCACTTTTCCTGAATTGACTAGAATTGTAGTGGGATTGATGTATTATTTGTTGTAATGCATTAGCTGTCACACGCCTCCCAAGCTTACCATGGAGGAGATTCTTCAGGAAATGAGGGAGTACCACTACATCTGAACACCTGGCACTGAGAATGTATGGACACTTTACCATTGTGCTATTAAAAAACATTTTATACCAGAGACGATTTTTTCTAATGAAAAAACATGACTTATGTATTTAATTTGTTGGGGCTTGTGAATATACCTAGATCAAAAACAGATAATGTACTCAAATGTGCCATACTTTCTGTAGAAGTATAGAATTGTATACAGATCAATGAGGATATATATAGACATTTGGTTTAATGAATTGGATTTGTATGAGATCAAAAAAAAAAGAGAAAGACACTCGAGTCATAAGAAAAGACACCTGACAATTCTTTTTACATTTCTTTTAATCTAGGTTGAGGTTAACTAATTATGAGCGCATTTATCCAAACAGAATATCCAAACAAGTATTTAAAATGCTTTATTTCTCTACAGCATGTGGTCAGTTGCCTGACGACTCAAACTGAATTCTTCCACTGCTCTATCGTTTTGCTACATACTTCATAGCGGAGAAGAAACTAACGTCCGTGGGCGTGGCGTAGCATTTGGGCGGAGCAAGGAGTTTGGGTAGCCAGGCAGTGGTTAGTAGAGGGTCATTTGATTCACAGTTATAGCTGGCATGACATTGATTCCATGTGCATTCCTCTGTTTTGTGGGATTTTCTTTTTGTTATAAAAGAGCAACACAATACTATTTCTATCCATTTCCAAGTAATCAAATCCTGGAACATGAGAAGAATACATTGACAAGTATCACAAGAAAAGCAACATTAAAACTAAGGACCCCAACCTTCTGGTATGTGAGGATTTTGCAAACAGATAGAGGGAAACACTGTTAAGACCATTATACTGTACAAAAAACGAATTGTGAAGAGGTGTGTTCTGGGTAGGGGTTGTTTGCTTTTCGATGCACGTCATTCAGCGGGAGGGGCCTCCTGTGGTTCCCGATTCACTGAAATAAACACACATGATTATATTTTAGTTTGTCATATCACCTACAAATACAACTGTCCACAACATCAGAATGTCATTGCAACAGTTTCAAAAAGACCTACAGAGATCACTTAATGAACATTCCTACCTTCCTCCCTTGCTTTCATGCGAGCTACAAAATTGTAACTCTTGTTCCTGCGGTAGTTCTCATAAGGGTCGTCCAGTGACACCCCCACTCCTTTATACTGGTCCCACTTGTCCCGGAGTTCTCCCCCCTTGATGGGGTCCTGGATGCCCTGCTCCTTCGCCCCAAGCCCCCCTGAACCACTCCAGCCCATTTTCATGAGCAGCTGATGGCCCTTGTTCTCCTCTCCCAGCCTGCTGTCTGGAGGCAGGATAGGAGGAGCTGCTCCAAGCCCAGAATTAGCGCTGTTGATCACAACCAATACATTCAGTAATCTACAGCCTTCAATGCTCTGCTTTACATTTTCAATGTGAGAGTGACTGCCTCCATTATGTCGATGGCACAGTTACACTGTCTCTACCCGTCCCTAGCCCCTATCCGTATGATATGCACAGATTTGTAAGCAATATGTCAGAGGCAATACGATGCGTGAAGAGCAGGATAGTGCATGCTGAGATGAGAGGGACTTACGGAGGGGAGGGGCTACGGGACTTCTGAGGGGCGGCGGCAGCGGGGGTGGAGGCATGCCCGTGCCTCTCCAGCCGTCTCTTGTCAGGAGAGCGAGATCTGGAGCGAGACCTGGAACGAGAGCGACTGCGGGGCGACCTGGATCGGCTCCTGCTCCTGTGGAGGGGAAAGACAAACAACATGATCCGTCATCCTTCACCATGTTCACTCCACAGTGTTACTTATCACCACCTAACCTCCAACCAAATGAGGAAAAAGGTCTACCAGTCCATCTCCATTGTATCGTACAGGCGTATCTGATAGTATTCCTGACAAAATCTGCAATTCCTGTTAAAATCAGGAAGAATCCCATCTGTGCGTACCTGGAGCGTGATCTGGAGTAGGAGCGAGAGCGGGACCGTGAGGAGGAGCGGGAGGACTTGGAGGATCTGGAGCTGGAACGAGATGAGGAGCGGCCCCGACTACGAGAACGGCTGTGTGAACGACTACCCCCGTGGGCACTGGGAGAGACAGAGAGAACACACACACTTCTTTAACGCACTCATCTCTCTTACAGTACTTACAGATGGGAAACAGAGGGCCAAACATTTGTATTTCAAAGGCACATTTATTTTATGTTAAGTGGTACCCAAAGTCTCCTTGTACTACAGATAAGTCTATGAAATGGATGTGTCTGTGTGTGAGACATAAGGCTAGTCAGCAGGCAGACTGTCTCACCTGTTGTGTTTCTCCTGGCCCTTTTTCCTCCTGGCTCTCATCTTGGCTCTGAAGAACTCATACAGGCCGTTCTGTTCCCAGCCCTCACTGACCGACAAAGACATTGCAATCAATAGAGCACACATAATGCATTGATCACTCAAGCACATGAAGTGAAAATGTTTGTGTTTTACCTGTTCCTGGGTCTGTCGTGGGAGGGGGGGCTGTAGAAGGCCTCCACAGCAGCTAGCAGGCGATCACTAGGCGGCATGGGGGGAGGAAGGCGGATGTCTTTGGGATCCAAGGCTTTGTAGTCATGGTCTTCAAGCTTACGCACATAAACAGGTAGAGAACAAAACACTTTAGATCACTGGGGCCCGAAAAATACATTTATCTCTAGGTATGGTGAGCTGTGGAAAATGTATCCTTGAAAAGCAATAGACATCTCCATCCCATGCTACTCACTTTGACTAGAGGGGCCATGAGTCCAGCGGGCAGGTCGAAGTAGGGGACGTTGGGGACCAGGCTGGGGTCGTCCTGGTTGACGTGAGCCGGGGACAGCCGCTGCCTCATATGGGGGGAATGGCCGTTGAAGCCATGGGGCGGGGGGCCGAAGTCAGGGTGCTGGTTACCCCCCCAGGGAGGGTGCTCTCCTCCCCCCATGCCCGGAGGAGGGATCCTCTGGCTGGGGTGGTGGTGGGGCGGGGGGCCCATGTCTTGGTCAACACGCAGGGGCAAGGGGAGGGATTCAGTTAAATTACATGTTGTAGATAGAACTGTCAGTCACAAATGATCACGTAAATCGATGTGAACTGTAACTATGGATGGTGGTCAGGAAAATAAGCCAGAGGGGTGCTTATACAATAGTCATAGAAAATTTGTAAAAAGAAACAGTGAATAATGAGCTCCCATGGTGGGAACTGTCCTGTCTTCTTACCTCCAGGAAAGTCTCCCTGTGGGTAGTCAAAGCGGTGTGGAGGGTAGGGTGGCCTCTCAAAGTGGTGCCTGGGTGGGAAGTCATCCTGCATGAAGCGCGGAGGGAACCGGCCGAAGTTGTGGGGAGGTGGGGGCGGCTGGTTGAAGGGAGGGGGCCCTTGCTGGTGGGGCGGGAAGGGCCCTCTGAAGTGAGGAGGCCTCTGCATGCGGGGGAAGGGGGGCTCTCTCTGGCCCCAGGGGGGCTGGTCAGGCCCCTGGTTGCTCCAGGGGGGCTGGTCATACTGTCCACTCCAGTTGGGAGGGGGCTCGTTCTGTCCTCCCCCTCCGCTCCAGGGACCGCCCTCCCCCCTCGGGGGGCCTCCGCTCCAGCTGGGGTCCCCTCTCTGCTCGTTCCACATGCCTTCATGGCTGTTCCAGGGCGGGCAAGGCGGGGGCGCCTGGGTGGGGTCGAACGGAGGCTGAGAGGGGACAAAAATAAAGGGTGTTTAAACAGAGACTCATCTTCCATGTTACACTACCTTCACCACTCACTCATTCATCAACTCAACAGTTTGTTTGCATGGGACTGATTCAATAGATAGGAACTACAGTCAATCTGTTCAACTCTATGAAAACAGTAAACCTGTAAATATATCAACACAGACTATTCCTCATATCAATTTGAGAGTTTTACATTATCACACAGTGCATATAAACAACACAGTAGGACGAGCTTACTGGCTGATTGGGGTTCCAGCCTCCAGACATGTGTTGCGGGTCGAACCAGGGTTTGGAGGAGGAGTTATCAGAGTGGCCACTGTTGTTAGCACCGGGGTCTGATCTGGGCGGGGCTCCGTCATAATCACCAGGAGGGCCAGACATGGACGCCTTCACCTCTCCTGTTGACACCACAAGACAGAGTGAAGGATATTTGATTAAAGGGTAAATATGGCTAAAGATGAAGAATCTACCCATAATCAACATGTAAACGAAATAACATCATGAAGTGCTTGGGGTGTGTTTGTGGGTCTGTGTGTGTACGCAAGAGAGAGAGAGCCTAAAAGTCAATCAAACCTGTCACCAGCATCTCTACAGTGCTGTTTTGCTAACAGAGAACAACAGCCTCATCAACATGTAAACGAAAGTACATAATGAAGTGTTTGGTGTGTGTGCTTATGTGTGTGTGTTTATGCATGTGTACGAGTATGTTTCTCTCTCTCCCCTCACCAGGCTGAGTGGTGACTGCCTTAACGTCGGGCTCTGCTGCAGCTAGCTGGCTCACTGCTGCTGCGGCCGCCACCACTGCAGTCTGCTGCTGCACCGCCAGGTTAGCAACAAACTCCTCATGCTGCGTCTTAAGGGTCTGGATCTGCTGCTGGAACGCCAGCTGAACGGGCTGTACCACTGCAGCGTACTCCGTGATCAGAGAGGCCTGGGAGAGGGGGGAGGAGATGAGCCAGAGGGGCATTGTTAGTGCTGCAGAGAACACTGGCCTGGCCAGAGTACATAAAATCAATTCAATTAAAAGTAAATCAACTTTATTCAATTTTGATGGAACTTTTTGTGTGGCATGGGGCAGGACGTGTATATGTGGTTGACTTCAAAGTCCAATCCTTTTAATTGTCAGCCAACTTGCAGTATTTCACTTTACTAGGCCACTAGCCTCAGTCCTCACCTGATACTGGCCCAGGCCGACAGCTGGACTCTGTAACTGCTGGATCGTCACCTCATCGAAGTAGCCATTCTTTTCCCAGAGCTGCAGCAGCTGTGAGAGAAACAGGAAACAGAGGGTGTCATTCAGACCACAGGCAACATCTATATGGAACAATGTCTACATTGAACAGGCAGTCCACTTACCCGCGTAACCTTCTGCTGTTTGTCCTCCTCTACAGCCAGGAAGCTGGTGCAGTAGATGGGCACCACCACCTTCTGCAGCGCTGCTAGCAGGTCCCTCTGCTGCTTCCTCTGACTGGTATGACACAAGACGAGGTTCACTTAACTAACCACCAATACAATGCATGACATAATTACTTCCATTATCGAGCACAAGCAAGTCAGTTTTGTTTGACGAGTTTAAAATACACCTTAGATTACCACTCACATACAATATGAAAAAAGTGCATTCTGAGAGTAAAAACAAAGCCTTATTTTCATCATGCTTTTACCAGTGATGGAGGACATCATTGGTGAGATAGATGAGGTGAAGGCGGAGTTCGAAGTGGGCTGCGTCGGCTGTGATGCGGTTCCGGAGGTGTGAGCACATCAGCTCGCAGTGCAGGGGGCCCTTGGCATTGTTGAACATCCAGTTCTTACCAGCCTGGGAGGAACCGGAAAGAAACATACAACTGACTCAACTTTCAACTGACTAAATATACAAGACCATTGTCCAGCTCATCTATTGTTTATGTTGTGTTAACCTGGTGTCATGAACGTACCGAGATGGCGTCTTTAGTGCAGGTGTCAATGATGGGCTGCAGCAGGTTGTCAAATTCAGAGATGTCCTGCTGAGTCTCCGCCAGCAGTTTCTGGGTCTGCTGCTCCATGGCCAGAGCTATGGCTGCCGTCACTTGCTCCTGGAATCAAACAAATGACACCCATTTCAGTCTGGACATCTAGGGAAAAACAACAGCTGTCAAATGCATTTGCTTTGAAACTTCATGTTTTCTGTCTCTAACATTTTATGACCAGATAATATAGGACATGGTAGCGATGGTCAGTCTGCGACATTGGAGGGCCAGTGTGTGCAGGCTTTTGCACCAGCCCAGCACTAACACATCCGACTCAACTAATCATGGTTTAGAAGACTGACCGACCCTGGGGTACGGTAACCCGTACCTGTCTGAGAGTGAGCAGGTGCTGTTCTTGCTGCTGCAGATTCCATTGGCTCTGCTGGATGAGCTCATCTAGAGAGGGCGTGGCAGGGGCAATGGGGGGCGGGGCCAGGATGGCGATTGGTGGAGGGACATCTAGGACTTCCTTACCGGGTGGATTATAAAGATCTGCAAAACAAGGCCAAAATGTCTGAGTGATTAAAGGACAAAGCATGATAAAATAAAATAAATTCATTGTATTCTCTATGCTTTTTGTCATTTGCACAGGCACTTGGCAAAGTGACCTAAAAAAATGAAATTAATAATGAAATGAAATTCCTGAAAAGAAAACCAGTACTGAAACAAGGGCATTTTTACATGCAACTAGCTTCATGCAAGAAATGTTCTCATCTTCATTTATACTAAATTCCTTTATACTTCAAAGGAATTGAGATTTAAAAACATTAAGCATTTTGCAGCATCTCTGAAACAGCTTAAATAAAAAACAGCCGTAATTTTGTAACAGGAGAACAGGTGGATTTTTATGTCACAAACTTTGCAGCAGCATTGAATCACACGCAACGGACAAAAACAACATAAATCTGCATCTGATATCAACAAGCATCAAGAATATCAAAAACTCTTGCTTAGAAAACTGACATACTTAGGCTTTGCAAAGTCCAAACTTGAATTGTGGATGAAAAATCTAAAATGGAATGTTTTAGACAATAACTAAAATAGAAGTAATTCGATCAACACCAGTTGTCAGGGTATCCTTCATTTAAAAAAGATCATGATTGAAAAATACAAACATGAAAAACAATACAAAAACAAAGCCTTCAAGCACTGGTGGTGCAAAAACACCAGATGAATGTCGAGCAAAATGTGCAAGTTGGGACTTCTATCGTTCCAGTAAATACCTTCCAATTTATACTCCTCACATTCGTGGGTAGTAGGATCTATGTGGAGAGAAGCACACATTACAATACAGTGGCATACAAACAGCCACAGATTTAGCCTATCTATTATACAGAAATAAATTCAGATCTGGTCTTCTTCCTGCAATAACTAGAAAGATGTGAGCAGATGTCACAGGTTAGGCTACAATATCTGCACGTGGTGGTTGTGCTCCAAACCTGCTGCAAAACGGAATAAAAAGACTGTTGGCTTTGGAATCTAAGACAAGACTATTTGAATTGATAGCTATATGAACTACATACGCTGGTGGTGTTCCATAGCAAGCTTGCACCGGTAATAGGCGAAGAAGTCCCCTCCAAAGAGAAAAGAGAATTTGGGATTGTCCTTCTGTTTCTCCATTGTCATCTTCTCAAACTCGGGTCCATTTCGAGCCACAAACTGGGCCAGTTTGTCAATGACATTTTTCAGCTCTTGATCTGTGGAGAAAAAATAAATAAAAACGTTAAATTGGTGAGTCACATGATTTCTGATACAGTTTGACATCCATTTAGGGGTTCTATTATTGTTATGTTAAAAAAGCAATTTTGATCAGGTTATTATGGCGCTCTCAAACCCGGGTCATCCCTCTTTACATACTGTGCAAGGTAACTGTAGTTGTACAAGAGGGACAACATCGACGCTAGGGCTGGGCGGTATACCGTATTTTACTACACTGAACAAAAAACATGAACGCAAAGATGTTAAGTGTTGGTCCCATGTTTCATGTGCTGAAATAAAAGATCCCAGAAATGTTCCATACGCACAAAGCTTATTTCTCTAAAATGTTGGGCACAAATTTGTTTACCTCCCTGTTGGTGAGCATTTCTCTCCATCCACCTGACAGGTGTGGCATATCAAGATGATGATTAAACAGCATGATCATTACACAGGTGCACCTTGTGCTGGGGACAATAAAAGGTGACTTTAAAATGTGCCGTTTTGTCACACTCAAGTTGAGGGAGTGTGCAATTGGAATGTCCACCAGATCTGTTGCAAGATAAATTAATGTTCATTTCTCTACCATAAGCAGCCTCCAACGTCATTTTAGAGAATTTGGCAGTACATCTAACCGGCCTCACAACCGCAGACCACATGTAACCATGCCAGCCCAGGACCTCTACATCCAGCTTCTTCACCTGCAGGATCATTTGAGACCAGCCACCCGGACAGCTGATGAAACTTTGGGGTTGCACAACCAAATACTTTCTGCACAAACTGTCAGAAACCCTCTCAGGGAAGCTCATTGGCGTGCTCGTCGTCCTCACCAGGGTCTTGACTTGACTGCAGTTCTGCGTTGTAAGAGACTTCAGTGGACAAATGCTCACCTTCGATGGCCACTGGCACGCTAGAGAAGTGTGCTCTTCACAGATGAATCCCGGTTTCAACTGTACCGGGCAGATAGCAGACAGCGTGTGGGCGAGTGTTTTGCGGATGTCAGTGTTGTGAACAGTGCCCCATGGTGGCGGTTGGGTTATGGTATGGGCAGAAATAAGCTACGGACAACGAACACAATTGCATTTTAATCGATGGCAATTTGAATGCACAGTGATACCCTGACGAGATCCTGAGGGTCATTGTCATACTGTGGGACAACATTCCACAGGCCACAATCAACAGCCTGATCAACTATATGCGATGGAGATCTGTCGTGCTGCATGAGGAAAATGGTGGTCACACCAGATATACTGACTGGTTTTCTGATCCACACCCCTACTTTTTTTTTTTAAAGGTATCTCTTACCAACAGATGCATATCTGTATTCCCAGTCATGAGAAATCCATAGATTAGGGCCTAATGAATTTATTTAAATTGACAGATTTCCTTATATGAACTGTAACTTACTAAAATCTTTGAAATTGTTGCATGTTGCGTTTATATTTTTCAGTGGTATGGGTTTCTACTTGACCTTCTATAAATGGTTTTTGAATGTTTGGTTTGTTAAATGTGATTCGTGTGTAACATGCATTTTTATCATTTACTCCGCTACTTGTCATCTCTCTCTGCTCTCTCCATGCCGCTTTCCACACAGATTCAGGCCTGCCCCGTCAATCAAGGAGCGCACTTGCGTTTAGTCTGCATGATCAATGCGGCAGATGCACAATGACAATGAAGCGGTTTCCACTTTGAGTCTTGATATAAATCCACTAGCGTTCTATAATTACACTATTAGTTTGTGTTTCTTACATCTGCAAACAGCTAGTTTGTATTTTCTTAGCAAGTTGTGGCTAAATCTTGTTAGGCGCTAAATCTAATCGCTAGTTAACTGGCTAGCTAATAAATGTACTGAGTCAGAGCAAACGTAGCTAGCTATACAGCCTGATACCAGTGATGGTGTAGACCTAAATCAGCATATTTGTGCAACAGTATCTTCTAAACCAAAGATGATTAGGCGATTCATAACTGTACGTTTTGCAGTATAAAGGACTTACATACAGTGGGGAGAACAAGTATTTGATACACTGCCGATTTTGCAGGTTTTCCTACTTACAAAGCATGTAGAGGTCAGTAATTTTTATCGTAGGTACACTTCAACTGTGAGAGACGGAATCTCCAGAAAAATACATTGTATGACTTTTAAGTAATTAATTTGCATTTTATCACCTACCAACCAGTAAGAATTCCGGCTCTCACAGACCTGTTAGTTTTTCTTTAAGAAGCCCTCCTGTTCTCCACTCATTACCTGTATTAACTGCACCTGTTTGAACTCGTTACCTGTATAAAAGACACCTGTCCACACACTCAATCAAACAGACTCCAACCTCTCCACAATGGCCAAGACCAGAGAGCTGTGTAAGGACATCAGGGATAAAATTGTAGACCTGCACAAGGCTGGGATGGGCTACAGGACAATAGGCAAGCAGCTTGGTGAGAAGGCAACAACTATTGGCGCAATTATTAGAAAATGGAAGAAGTTCAAGATGACGGTCAATCACCCTCGGTCTGGGGCTCCATGCAAGATCTCACCTCGTGGGGCATCAATGATCATGAGGAAGGTGAGGGATCAGCCCAGAACTACACGGCAGGACCTGGTCAATGACCTGAAGAGAGCTGGGACCACAGTCTCAAAGAAAACCATTAGTAACACACTACGCCGTCATGGATTAAAATCCTGCAGCGCACGCAAGGTCCTCCTGCTCAAGCAGTGCATGTCCAGGCCCGTCTGAAGTTTGCCAATGACCATCTGGATGATCCAGAGGAGGAATGGGAGAAGGTCATGTGGTCTAATGAGCTAAAAATAGAGCTTTTTGGTCTAAACTCCACTCGCCGTGTTTGGAGAAAGAAGAAGGATGAGTACAACCCCAAGAACATCATCCCCAACCGTGAAGCATGGAGGTGGAAACATCATTCTTTGGGGATGCTTTTCTGCAAAGGGGACAGGACGACTGCACCGTATTGAGGGGAGGATGGATGGGGCCATGTATCGCGAGATCTTGGCCAACAACCTCCTTCCCTCAGTAAGAGCATTGAATATGGGTCGTGGCTGGGTCTTCCAGCATGACAACGACCCGAAACACACAGCCAGGGCAACTAAGGAGTGGCTCCGTAAGAAGCATCTCAAGGTCCTGGAGTGGCCTAGCCAGTCTCCAGACCTGAACCCAATAGAAAATCGTTGGAGGGAACTGAAAGTCCGTATTGCACAGCGACAGCCCCGAAACCTGAAGGATCTGGAGAAGGTCTGTATGGAGGAGTGGGCCAAAATCCCTGCTGCAGTGTGTGCAAACCCGGTCAAGACCTACAGGAAACGTATGATCTCTGTAATTGCAAACAAAGGTTTCTGTACCAAATATTAAGTTATGCTTTTCTGATGTATCAAATACTTATGTCATGCAATAAAATGCAAATTAATTACTTAAAAATCATACAATTACTTAATCATACAATGTGATTTTCTGGATTTTTGTTTTAGATTCCATCTCTCACAGTTGAAGTGTACCTATGATAAAAAGTACAGACCTCCACATGCTTTGTAAGTAGGAAAACCTGCAAAATCGGCAGTGTATCAAATACTTGTTCTCCCCACTGTATGTTTTCTAATTAAATAATAGTTAAATAAAATGGAAAATGGAAAGAGAAAAAAAGAAAAGAGGATTAGGCGAGGCAAGATAATGTTACATGAAGTAGCTCAGAGAAAACATTTAATGTAGCCAAAGATTATAGGATCAACACTTTGGTTCCCACCCTGTCACTAACTCCACCCTGCCATTTTTATTCCTTGTCATGTCAAACACTGTATTCAAAGTGCCCAATATTATATTCCAACTATAGAATTATAATAATCATTCTATTTCCATGATTCCAACAGTTTACCCAAGTGTTTTGATCTACAGTTGAAGTCGGAAGTTTACATATACCTGAGCCAACTACATTTAAACTCAGTTTTTCACAATTTCTGACATTTAATCCTAGTAAAAATTCCCTATTTTAAGTTAGTTAGGATCACCACTTTATTTTAAGAATGTGAAATGTCAGAATAATAGCAGAGAGAATTATTTATTTCAGCTTTTATTTCTTTAATCACATTACCAGTGGGTCAAAAGTTTACATTCACTCAATTAGTATTTGCCTTTAAATTGTTTAACTTGGGTCAAACATTTCGGGTAGCCTTCCACAAGCTTCCCACAATAAGTTGGGTGAATTTTGGCCCATTCCTCCTGACAGAGCTGGTGTAACTGAGTCAGGTTTGTAGGCCTCCTTGCTCGCACACACTTTTTCAGTTCTGCCCACAAATTTTCTATAGGATGAGGTCAGGGCTTTGTGATGGCCACTCCAATACCTTCACTTTGTTGTCCTTAAGCCATTTTGCCACAACTTTGGAAGTATGCTTGGGGTCATTGTCCATTTGGAAGACCCATTTGCGACCAAGCTTTAACTTCCTGACTGATGTCTTGAGATGTTGCATCAATATATCCACATAATTTTCCTTCCCCATGATGCCATCTATTTTGTGAAGTGCACCATTCCCTCCTGCAGCAAAGCACCCCCACAACATGATGCTGCATCCCCCATTCTTCACGGTTGGTATGGTGTTCTTCGGCTTGCAAGCAACCTCCTTTTTCCTCCAAACACAACGATGGTCATTATGGCCAAACAGTTTTATTTTCGTTTCATCAGACCAGAGGACATTTCTCCAAAAAGTACGATATTTGTCCCCATGTGCAGTTGCAAACTGTAGTCTGGCTTTTTTATGGCGGTTTTGGAGCAGTGACTTCTTCCTTGCTGAGCGGCCTTTCAGGTTGTTGATATAGGACTCGTTTTACTGTGGATATAGATACTTTTGTACCTGTTTCCTCCAGCATCTTCACAAGGTCCTTTGCTGTTGTTCTGGGATTGATTTGCACTTTTCGCACCAAAGTATGTTCATCTCTAGGAGACAGAACGCGTCTCCTTCCTGAGCGGTATGACGGCTGCGTGGTCCCATGGTGTTTATACTTGCGTACTATTGTT